CTCCAGATGAGTATGCGATGAGAAATTGCTACTCAGACTGAATCTGCTCTCATCTGTTAAGAGTACTCGTCCCCGTTCATTGTCTCTCCAATTCCGGTGTTCCCGGCACCACAGAGAACGCCGATGGGCTTCCCCGATGGGCAGGCGTTAGAGGTACACACCGTACAGGGCATTGTGCAAACAGACCACCACCATGCAGTCTTCTGGCCACGGTAAAACGTGATATCGGTCGTCCAGTCGCCCGTGTCGTGTGTCTAGCGATTTCTCCCGCTGTCTGCCGCCTGTTTCATGTGGCCTGTAAGGCAATATACCGGTCATCTGCGGGTGTGATTCCTCGTGGACGACCACTACTAAACCCCCGGATAGCTGTTCCTGTAGTTTGAAATTGTCTCCAAAGTCGTGAAACAATGCTGTGAGCAATTCCGAACTCTGCAGCCACACTGTCACACTGCGGCCTTCCTCCAACTTCCCAATGATTCGACCTCAGGTAAAAGCATCCAGATGTCGTCTGAACTACATGTATTTGTGGATGCTTGCAAGGGGGCGTATGCAGCGTGCGTCTTTGTTCGATCAGTATTTAATTCTGAAGTAAAAATAAATCTCGTACGGGCGAAGTCTAGAGTATCACCTTTGAAATCTTTAAGCATTCCTCACTTAGAATTAATGGCCTGCTGTATAGGTTCTAGACTTGCAAATTCTATTATCAAGGCTCTCAGTTTGCCCGATTTAAAAGTTACCTTCTGGTCTGATTCCACCACTGCCCTTTGGTGGATAACAGAGCAAGGCAATTGGTCTGTTTTCTTCGAAAATAGGGTTAAAGAGATTCAAAGAGTTGACGCGAGGTCATTCATGGAGACATGTCCCAGGGAAACTGAATATTGCCGACTTGTTATCGCGCAGATGTTTTGTGAAGAAGGTGCTTCGGTCTAGATGGTGGGAAGGCCCTTTGTGGTTGCGAGAAGGCCCTGAAAACTGGCCCACTGGTGAGATTATTTGTTTACATAAAGAAGTAGAATTGGAGAGGAAAAAGATGAAAATAGTGAATATTGATCTATCAAAAGACGCACCCCCTTGGCATCGAATCAGTGTATCCAATTATGATAAAATGATTAGAGTATTTGCATGGATATTTAGATTTGTAAATAATTGTAAAGATGGTTCCGAAAAGAATAGAAACATTGAACTTTCACAGTACGAAAATTGAAAATTCTGAGAAAAATTTAATTCGTTTGGTTCAAAATTATTATCTGACTGATAAGAAATCTTATAATTTTATTGAAACGCTTATTGATGATGATGGTATTCTGAGAGTTAAAACGAGAATACTAAATAGAGATGACCATGAATCCTTTCTTTATCCAATACTGTTACCAGAAAAATGTGATTTCACTAATTTCTTAATCCAAAATGTACCATAATAAGAACTGTCATGCTGGTCTTCAGATGATGCAATGTATATTACGAGAAAGATTTTGGATAGTCAGAGCTAGAAAGGCCATTAAAAATGTCCTCTTTAACTGTATCGTTTGTAAAAGATTTAAAACTAAGGCTATGTCAAGCGAACTGACACCTCTGCCAGACCGAGTTACGGATTGTGCGCCGTTTAAAATCATAGGGATTGATTTGGCTGGACCCCTGTTTTTAAAAAATGGAGGAAAGGTGTGGATCGCGCTGTTCACGTGTGCTGTGTACCATGCCATTCACCTTGAACTCGTAAATTCTCTTTCTACTGAAGCTTTTCTTCTGGCGCTTCGACGATTTGTTGCTAGGCGCGGACGCCCTAGAATAATCTATAGTGATAACAGGACAAATTTTTCGGGGTGCATCTAATGATTTATCAAAACTAAATTGGGCTAAAGTATTAAAGGAAACGGGAACTGAAAGGATAATCTGGAAATTTATTCCACCTACTGTAGCTTGGTGGGGCGGCTGGTGGGAGAGGTTGGTTCGTACAGTAAAAGAATTGCTGAAACGTACTTTAGGTAAATCAGTTATCATATGAAGAACTTTATACTATTATTTGTGATTGTGAAACTATAATTAATTGTAGACCCTTAACTTATGTTTCTGAAGATCTGCAAGAATTAGTACCTCCGACACCCGCCATGTTTCTTATCGAGAACAGAAATTCCAATGTTGAAGATCTTGATGAATTAAATTCATCAAGTCTTAATAAGAGATTAAAGAATAGAACTAAATTGTTAAATGATCTGAGACAACGATTTAGAAAAGAATACCTTAGTCAACTGTTTCAAAAGCATAATGAAAAACGATCTCGGGAACCTGTAGTAGGAGAAATAGTACTGATGGGGGATGATAACAGAAAACGTTTATTTTGGCCTTTAGCCCGTATTACAGAATTGGTCCCTGGACGTGATGGAAAGATTCGTACGGTTAAACTTAAGACCCGGCATGGAACAGTTATACGACCAATACAACGCATCTTTCCTCTGGAGATACAGGCTAATGACAGAAACATAATTCCTGATAAGAAACTGGGTGCAGAGGAATCTAATTCTAGTGCTGGGTGTACATTAAAAAGGGGAATTGCACCTGATAAAATGGTGATGCAACAATATTCCTCCTCTGGACGACTTGTAAAAGCTTCAAAAAGACTTGATTTTTTAAATAATGTCTGTTATGAGTTTGAGACTCAACCTGAGTCTCAAGGGGGGGAGGATGTTGTGAAATAAACTGAAGTAATAACCGGTGCGAGGCGCTCCTGTTTGTGACGTCAGCCTGCGTGCTGAGTGTTTTCGAATGTTTTGCTTGTAGACGGAACGAAAGCTGATCTCGGAAGAGTGATACTGTTTTGATGGAAATAAAGAATGGCTCATTAAGAATTTTTTATCTTTATTCATAATGCACCCAGTTAGGGTAGAGGCAGCCCGCAACCGAACGAACTGTTTTATTATATTTGATTTATATATTTTCTGTGTTCTTCGCAACACAGCCTTTACTATAACTTCCCATTTCTGTTTCCTCCTATGATAGAATTACTGAGCCTAAATTAAAATTAAATTTTATTATCTTTGACCACTAGTTCACATTTTTAGTTTGAATTTGACTGTTCTTGTTTAATTACGTCACCGTGAGCTTTGTAATTGACTTTGTTAGCATCAGAACATGCCTTTATGTTCTAAGTTCTTTGTCTGATATTGTAGTTACTTTCAGGTACAGTGATAATTTGCTTCACTTCTATCGGGGGGGGGATATTTAACTTTTACCAGATCGAGTAAACCCTCATAGGTTATTTTGTAGGTTATTTCATAGGTTTCATTTATGAAAGAGAGGTTGACAAGTTAGGAGATAAAGCACACAGAAACTAGCGAGAACATTGGTTTGCATATTGAGACAAATTTCTAATTATTGTCAGAAAAAGGATCGATAATTAAAGAGAAGGAAATCGATATAAACTAGCCAAAATGTTTGGGAAGGCTTGTAGAGACATTAGGTATTTTCTGGTGCTTTAATGGCTTATTGGAAACTTAAAGTATATTAACTCGTTTACAACCCCTGGAACTCTACACAAAGCTGTGACATTAACTGCATTAAGCAGAGCTTGACTAACTTTCAACACTTGCCAATGGTGCCTACTCAGGCCTTTCAGGTTTGTTCCAATCAGCAAGTCTCTCTACAGACAAGCAGCAGAGGGACAACATTCAGTCTTTTGTTATGAATCATGCTGATTATGATCTCACTTCTCATTTTAACCTCTGCCGTTTGATGTAATGTGAAGACTATTTATGGCCATAAAAGTGAATCAAAACTTTAATTTTTTTCATGAAGTACTAAAAGCCACTTACCTTGTATAAGAAATCGAGGTTTCTACGTGTAATTGTATTTAGGCTTCCCACAGCCATTAGCAATTAGTTATGCTGATTTGCTTCTAGATGACCTGCCATATTTCATCAGTTTACTTATACTTGTACTATATTGTATTTTATTCATTTTTACATATTAATTATTACATTTTTCTACAATGGAATTTTTTTTTTGTAATCAGTAAGTAAGAATTCATTTTAATATAATTTCCTGAATGTAACAGAAATATATCGATAACAACACTTAATTTTTATGAAAGATTTTTACAAGAGTGTAAAATTTTTTATGTGATCTTTCTTCCACCTTAAGAACTTTACAAACTTATACTTTAGAGACTTTGAAACTGGACTCGAAATTTAATTTACAGCATCATATTTTGTTCTAGTATTTCTGAATTTCATCTTGAAGCCATTTATTTACTTTCTCATTGAAATTGTAAATATTGTAAAAATTTTTTTGCTAATAATAATATATAAAAACTTCTTTTGCCAAGCTTTTTTCTCCTTAAAGGGGAGAATATGTAAAATATAAAATAAGAAAGGCAATCATTAACAAAATTTTGACAATAGACATTTAAATTTCTGATTTAAAATGTAAATACCCCCTTCGTATCTACCCTACTGATGCCTGCAGTATTCCAAATTGCAAAAGCTCTTTCCCAATGCTCATTCAGGACCGAAACAAAGGATCTGAGCCTTTAAATACTCCAGCTACTTAATTATGCTGTCCTTTTTGCTGCCTGCTCTATCTTGAGTAACCCACATCTTTTTGCCTATGTGCATTTCCCATTGTTTAAAATGTAAGTTTGTATACAAAATTGTGGGGTGCCTATTGCACTCATAATCATGTTAACAAACAATGTATCTCCAGAATTTCTTTATCGAATAATAAAATTATGTTGAATTTGGCCACATCTGATTGCAAATCGATTATTCTATCTACATAATACACTTATCCAACTTACATCTACGCTACCATTGCCAGTCCATTAGAGCTATCACCTGCAGAGTTATCTGGGCTGTGATTAAAACGTGAATTGTTATCTTCTACACTGAATTATATCATTGTATCCTCAAAATCATCACACATACACACACATATATATTATATGTAATGTCTTGTAATTAATATGGTATTTTATAATCATCGAACTAATAAGAACTTTTTTTACATAGGCGAACATGTTGTTAAGTTAATGTCACAACAGTCGTGGCTTTTGAGAATTCTTGCAGTAGAGCTAAGAGTTACTTCTGCGCATCATCAAAGATCACATGTTCATCGCCTTCTTAGCAGTCTTCTTGATGACAAACCTCCTGTAGAGAGTGGTATGATCCTGTATTTTAAGTCTTGATAAATTCAAATTACGAAAGTTTTTTTCTAATCTGATTTCTCTGATATATTTTGGAAAAATAAATTTGACAAAGGCTATTAAAAATTATAAATATATAGCAAAAATATATATGTTGAACATTCTAAATAAGCCATGCACATAAAATTTTATTATTTTGAAATACATTCCTATTTCTGACCTAAAAATCTGCATTATTTTGTAGGTGCTGTTGATGTTACAGAGCCATCATTTGGATCAACTAGCAGGTCTTCCTATTCATTTATGAAACCTACAACAGGTATGTCATTAAGATATTCATCTGATTCAAGAGTAACATCCTAATATAAACTTTAAAATTATGTAAAAAGTTAACTTCAGAGTGGCATGTATTATCGAAGTTCATTGTGATCTTACATTTATTATTATATGAAATAAATTAACCACCCTTCCCCCCAAAAAGATATGCAGTTCATAATACAATGTCATCAGAATTGGTTATCATCAAAAATTTGTTCCTCAATAAAGGGGGGGAAAAGGAGGTTGGCAAGATAAATATTTTTTGAGAGGTGGAAGAAACAATTTTTTGTTTTTGTTTCTCATGTTTATTTTATTGTATTTCTATTTTATTCATATGTAGCATTGTTATATTACCAATTTAGGTATTTTCTTTTTTTATATAATTTAATTAGCCTTATTTGTATACTTGCAATAATTTTGTAGGGTGTTATACATACAAAAACATAGACACACATACATATACTGGATTATTCATAATTCCTTCCAGTATTTCATAAGGCTGTAGTAAAACAACAAATGAATACAGCAAAGAAGAACATTGCATTAAATACAGAAACAATTCGACTTTTATGTACAGCCCTTATGGATGTTCTGTGTGTGAATCATAGGTCACACGGCATACATTAGTGCGATAGTCCAATGCCTGTCAGACTGTATTCAACATGGTACTATCAGTAATATCGACAATGCATGTAATACTTTCACGCAGTTCTGCTAAATCACACAGCAAAATGGGTAAGAAAACAAGGTCTTTTACATAGACACAGAAGAAATGTCACATTGTGTTAAATCCGGTGAGCATGGGGCCATGGCAATATTGTGAGATCACCCCATGCGAGATTTCGATGATTTTGCTAGTTTTGTGATTTTCACCCTTTAAACGTTATTTGCAATCCCATGTTCCATTGCATTTTGTGTTCGTCTTGATGAGTAGTATCATCCCTCTAAGTTTGTTGAAGCATTTCAGATACACCCTGTATATATAGATTTTGTAAAACTTACAAATTTTTATTAACAAACTCTATGATTTGGAAGCAAACAGTAGCAACACATTTCGAAATGAAGCATTTTTATCTCCAATACTTGAGACTGTTGCCACTCGGAAAAATGAGTGAGAAAATTAGTGTTTTCAGAGTTTTTAATTAATATAAAGTTCAACTTTCTTGAAAATAAATATTTACTTAATAAATATTAATATCAAACCGGGAAAATTTTGAAAATTAACCCTGATTTTTGTTGTTTGACTTGTGAATTAGTACTTATTCGGCGTGTTATTGTGTCTTAATTAATATCTTGGCTGATTAAAGTCATGCAAAGTTGGGAATAGTCGAAATGGCTTCCCACGATTTTTTGCGATCGGAAATAATGTATTTAATGTTTGGCAATGCTATTTTTATTTCATTGTAAATAGAGAATTTAGAATTTTTTTATTATTAAACTCTACAACTTGAAAGCGAGAAGTGGTAACACTTCTCGAAATAAAGTAGATTTTTATCTCCAGTGTGCAAGACTGTTGCCATTCGGAAAAATGAGAACAAAAATTGTTGTTTTCAGAGTAATATCTCTAATTTTGAGGGGGAAGTGGACGTCAGGACCCAGAAAATAATTGTAGAAAGTTTGGTGGCCATAGCTATAGTATTGACTGAGTTAATTGCGAACAAACACTCAGACATTCTTCTTTATGTATATATTTAGATAATATATACATAAAGATATGTTACTATATTAATAATCAGTTTAAATATTTTCAGTATATGGATCTTTGGAGAAAATTATTTAAACCATAAAGTGGCATGAATGCCTTTTTCTGGCCATGAGATTTTTTGTCACTTCATATGCATTAGATTACTGTTAAAAATATTTTGCTTTTGTGCTTCCTTTGATAACGTAAATACCATCTTAATGGAAAGAAGTTTATGAAAATGGGGACTAAAATAAGTAATTATAAAAAAATAGGTAATAGGAACTGTTTAAATGCAGATTTTCATGAGCAGATTCATACCTGCCAACTTTTACGAATTTTTCGTATTTTTTACGAAAATGCGTTTGTCTTTACGATTTTACGATCGTAATCCATTTTTTACGATTTTTTTCCTTTTTCAAGTGTTTTTAGTGATTTTTGGTCGAAATTTTAGAATTTTTCGCCAATTCAGCGATTTTCGCCAATTGCATCGTGTTTTACCGCCAACTACCGACTACTTCGAATCCAGTAACTGCGGTTTCTCCCAACTCGCCGCTTAACCAGCCATTCCAATGCGCTGAACTTGTTTCTCCCACTCCTTTCTTTGTGGGCGCCAGATTATTTTTTTTGCGTTCGCTTCAGCAGCAAGGGAATTACTCAGCTCGGACTCAGCAAGCGTGGATTGTCGGATTCTGTTTTTTTTTTTTTTTTTGCTTGCACGTGCTACGAATTTTCTTAATACGTCGTTATTACGAAATGAGTTCAAAAAAACCTTATTCTCAATAGTTTCAGCCTGCCCACAAAGCCGAATTTCCAACAATTAAAGAATCCTTCAAAGGAAATAACTATGCATTTTGCAACGTGTGCGTGTGTGCCTTCATAATAAGTCACAATGGAAGAAGTGCGACATTGTGAAGCATGTTAAGTCTAAAAATCATGAAGTTAATGCTTCGGCTTCGACAACGTCAAAGGAAAGTGGATGATTTTTTTTTTTCAAATTTGGCTACGAATTCGGATGCTGATGTCATTTTGGCAGAGTGTTTGTTTACTGCATTCCTCATCGAACACAACATGCCGCAAAGCGCTACCGATCACGCCGGTCAACTTTTCAGATGGATGTTTCATCTTTTGACAAATTGAAAATTCATCTTTTGAAAAGATTCGTTTTTTTTATTGATAAATTTCTATTTTTGTTAACAATTAAAGAAAATGAATGCCATAATGATGCTTTAGATGAACTACAGAACCAATTTTCTGCTGCACAGTTTGAAGACTTCTTCCAGTTCTGGATAAGATAGACTTGATGTCCTTGTTGGTACCTTAAAAAGAATAAAAAGAGCTTATGGAACACCAAAATATGATAGACTAGCAAGAGTTTTAAGAACAGTTTTAGTATTGGTCCTTTTGGCGATTTTTTGATTTGGCGACAAACTTCGGTCGCCAAGGTAGACCCGGCTTTGAAAATCGGAAAAAAATGGCAGATTTTCAACGAAACCCGATCTAGACTATATAACAATCTTAAAAAATCAGCTCTTGATTAGAATAAACAGTCTTTCTCTAATTTTAAACATTTCTACTTCTGCTATGATAAATTCCTGAAACACTACCATAAATGAATTTATGGCAGTGCTTATGTTATGAGTAATGAAATTTACAAAAGGTTAATATTTTAAAATACAAAATATAATATAATAATATATTAAGTAATTAATTTTTAAGTAATTAGTTAATATTTTATTTATATTAGTAGCTTAGCTAACATTTTAAATTTACAAAAAGGTTGGTTTTTTTTTATGTTATGAATAATGAAAACTACAAAAGGTTAATAAATGCATTTCAAAACTAGTATATGTTATTTTAATTTCTTAAATCCTGTTATTAAAAGAAAATAAAATATTTCAAAGGAAATCAAATTAAATTATAACGATTAAATTTTGTACCAGTGTTAGAAATACTTTATGATTAAATTTTGTAAATGGTAAAACTATTAAGAAGTGTGTATTTTTTAATCACTCAATTTATTACAATTAATTTATGATTATAATTTAAAAGCTAAAATTAAATTATCATAATGAGTAAATTTTGTACCAATGGTAATCATACACAACAACGATCATCATAACTGATGATTTGTGTGAAAGATTCGAACAGTCATTGGAATCCACTAGTGGTGGAGTAATAAACCACTGAACAGTGACAGTTCAGACTGGCTATATGATAACATTTGTGGCTTTCCTTACATGCAATGTGAATCTGAGCCAATTTCTCTAAAAATCTCCTTTATGAAGGCATCCTTCTGCTAGCCAGCATATATATTTATTTTCTATTCATAAATACTGTTCTCTCTTCTTATTTCTTAATTATAAATCTTTTCTGAACTGAAGTGTTGCATCTATAGGTCGAAAAATATGGTCAATATGTTTGTAAAATCCTCTTCAGTTTTGAACAGCATTTAAATAAAATAAATAATTTGTGTATGATGCAAACAAAAAATGCATTACACTATTTCATGTAGTGAATAATTAATCAGGGAACAAAGTATAATGTAACATTCTTTTATTTTGTAACCAGAGTTTTTTTATGTTTGGGATCTTTACTGTCAGTTTTCCCATCTGTTTTCCCACCATAATCCAAATGAAGTTTTTAGTTTGTAAAACAAACCGTGTTTTGCCTTTAGAGGCCACGTTACTAGGTTGCTAGATAACATAAGATTCAGTCCTGCATTATAATTGCTGATAGTTGAATTCCATGCCAGTTGAGTTTTGAACCAGCTTTGCATTAAATTGATTTGTGTAGCCTTAGGCTACAAATTTATTTGAATTTAAATTTAAATTAACATTTGAACTTAATTGTTATCATAAGTTATCTTGCCACAAGTGGTTGACGAGTCGTAAGCACAAAGTGTGCCTTCTGTTTAAAGTGTGCCTACATTTAAAGTTTTTAATAGAATAAGAATATATCTTAATAAAAATATACCTAAACTTTATAATAATTACATTTAAAGACGGTAATAATAATAATATTTACATTTAACTTTATAATAATTACATTGAAATCAGTATCTAAGTGCTTGCCATGTAGTCAAATTTATATATATAAATTGTACTCTTACTTTTATTATAGAATTTTTATTACAAAAAATTCAGATTTCTGTTAGATTAAATGTTTAAGTAATGTAGAAAATTTGCATAAAATTTAAAATAAAAAGTCTACTGTTATGTCAACATACTATTAATAAAAGTAATAATACTCAGTGAAGGTTATTCATATACAGCTATTAAATTATGAGATATATAAAATTTGAGAGAACTGTAAATTATAAGCAATATATTCCACAATCTAAGCAAATATTACATTTTTTATAGTCAGACAAATTATAAAAATGTTTTAAAAGCAATAATGAAACCTAATTTTTGTCTATGAATTCATGCAATTAGGCATCCCTATAGTTCTAATTTAAGAAATGAGGCAAAAAGTATTTTTAGACCATGGTAATTTTGATTATTGTCCATTTTAAGAAACATCTAAGAAGTCTAAATTTGCATGTGGTTCCTTAGCAAAGGAAACACCAAGAGTTTACCTCATGCTACTAAAAATATGTTTTTTATCTTTGGGGGGATGGAGTTTATAATATGCAGAGTTGACATATGAAAAAATGTCAAGACTCATGTGATGTAATATTAAAAGCATCAGTTTTTGGCTTTTTAAAAAATATTTTTAATGTTGTGCTTTAAGTAACTTTAAGAAAAACATGCAATTTATCCCTCCTGCCATCAAAGCCCTGATAGCTACTAAATTCGTTAAAGTTACGTGGACAGAAATAGCGGCACGTTTTTTCAGCTCAGTATTTATGGTTACCATAAATAACAAGGTTAACATAATTTTTCATTTATCGCTCCAAAATGTCGCCAACAAAATTTCTCGCCAAAAAGGACTAATACTAAAGCTGTGCCAGTTTTATGTGCTATTCTCGTAATTCCACACAGTAATGCTGAGTGCGAGAGAGTCTTCAGTGTTGTAAAGAAGAACAAAACTATGTTTCATTCTTCAATTTCACCAAAAACTCTAGAAAACATTTTAATTGCTAAATGTTATGAGGAAACTAATTGTTATGACAGGAAATTTTCCAAAGAATTTTTGGCTAAAGCCAAAAAATGCACTCTAAATTCAATGCAATAATTTTTTTGTGTAACATTAAGTTCTTGTTTTATGTTTCCTAATAAATTTTTTAGTTACTACTTAACTGAGATTTACTAATGTAAGTACAATTTTCTTTTTTCTATTTGTATAAATTGTTATTTTTTCAATATCAAAGCATGATATTAATTCTTCGTGTTCTTCTGAATTTTGGAGAAATCTTCTGAATTTTTATTTTTAGAGGTTGGCAGGTATGGCAGATTCAAAAAGCCATGACACTCAGAGAATTAATTTCTTTGCAATTTATAGCAGAAGTAAAATATTTATTTTCAAGAAAGTTGAACTTTATTATTAAATTTAACCCCTTTAGGGAGCCTCCATGAGTGCAGCATTGTTAACTTCTTCCCTTTTCTTCCAGCTTTCTGTATTGCCGTGAATTATTGTAGGAAAGTAGTGAAATGAGTTATATAGCGTATTTGGCACAGCTTAATCAAACCATTTTACCCCTCCTCCCTCGAAGAAAACTTTGTTGGACTCCTTGAAGAAGATTTTAGCATTATTATTATTATTATATATTATTATTATTATTATTATTATTATTATTATTATTATTATTATTATTTCTGAAGCAAATTGAACAGAATAATAATAATAATAATAATAATAACACAATGAAGTAATTAAAAGAGAGCAAAAATTAGCCAATCTTTTTTGCTAATTTTGTTATTTTCCTAGTTAATCTCATTAAACATTGCATTGCATTGCATTAGCTAGAAAATTACCTTTAATTTAGTATTTGCCTTAGCAGACAAAAACATGCACTAATGTGGAATCAAGAATACTAAATTAAATTGCTCATTGATAAAGAAGCTGGTGTTTAAGAATTTATAAATTTTGTGGCAATTTGTACAGCACTGTAGGGAAAGTTTAGGTTATTTTAATAAGCTGCTTTTGAAGTCCATGAAAATGTATTGACAGATATAATTTAATGTATATTACTACAGATCAGTATGTGACTTCTTTCTGCATTGTTGAGTCTGTATTTTATTTGATCAAGAAAGGAAACATTTAAAAAAAATGATATATGCGAAATTTATTTTGAAAATGTTGTGAGCTGAATGTTATGTCAAATTATTGAGGGGCAGTTGATAAAATATGTTAATTTTTATAGCTTGTATGTTTCCTATTAACAGGTACCTTTCGCAGAAAATTCATGAAAATTCTTGATAGCATACAGTTTCATCATAAGATGCCCGATGTTCCTCGTTGGGATTACTTTGAAAATGAAGAGGTTGAGCGTATTTTGAAAGAATGTGAAATTAGAGAACCAGATGGTCCTCGACTAATTGATGTTGAAGAATTACATAACAGATTAGCTGAAGAAACTATGGGGTTACAAGGTGCGTCAGTTATTGGTCAGAGAACAATTATGATGCAGGTTAGTTGCATAAATATAAAAATTCATTTTGAGAGTCATTTTGTGTTACAGTGCCATGCTTAGCTTTCTTTGCAATATACAATTTTATTTTTATAGGAAATATCAAAAGTTTTAGAGTATGCCGTAAGCTGCAATGAAGCACGAGAAGCTGTATTTGCTAAAAGATTGCTATTTGATGCATGGAGACAAGTTACTGAAGTTTTGCTTATTGCATGCCCACTTGAAATGTTAGGAAATGAAAAAAAAGATCAAATGGTTCTTGAACTATCCCAAGAACTGTTATCAAAAGTGAGTTTTCATGAAGTTTTTATTTATACATAATTTATTATATGTTTTCATTTAACTATAAAATCAGATGTGTATAAAGCGTACTAAAAAAGGCCAATGCTTTGTGTCAATGAGTGGAATTAGAAAGTTAATTGTTTTAATTAATTTCTCTGTATTATTATTATTATTATTATTATTATTTTTTGTAAAGATTGGGGCTTGTCATGTCTTTTTCTTTTTTCTTCTTTCTTTTTTATGTAAAAACTTTTGAATATTTTTAGGGAAGAAAATTTCGAAAATCATCATAGTATTAAGTGCTTTTACAAAGTTTCTCCTAACCTTAATTGGCCATATGTGAGATTAATCAGTTCAGCGGAGTTTCTGTGTGTGTGTGTGTGGGGGGGAATATTGTTCTACAGATTTGCATCAATCTAGTTCCTATTCACTTAGAAATCTTTCATGATAATAATCGTAGTTGTGTGTAGAGTCGATTCCGGTTAATCAGACCACATCGGGAAGCGATCATTTTGGTCCTAATAACCGGCTGGTCCGATTACACGAACATGTTGTAAGACGGGACGTGCTATATGTAGCAAACAGTAAATGTACATGTAAACTATGCACTAAAATGTAATTATGAACTTTATGGTGTGGTACACACGTATGGCGAACATACGTGTACAAACAAGAAATACAGTCAAACTCTTTTTATTGAGAAAACTAATTTAGAAACAAATTCTAAGAAACAATCTCCACGATACTCAACATGTGAAGCACAATAAAAACAATTTCTTACCAAGTTCCAGTCAACATTTGAAGAACTTATCCAATGTGATCTGACGCTTTCTCTTGGCGGATTGCACATGAAAGAAATCGCCACAAGCATCTAATGCAGCAATGGGACTGCTTTCATTTCCATCCTGCATGAAATATCGATGCAAAATTTCAATGCATTTTGTCGCATCCTGTGTTGTCACTTGCACCAACTTATTAGCAGCATCTTTATCATCACTTTCTTGTCTTCTGATGCTGTTGTGTGTTTTGCTGCAACTCGAGCAACAATATAGCATCATAATCTTCATTTTCATCATAGCATTGAAGCTCGTTGTCAATGGATAAAAATTTTTCACAATTTCGTACCTGTTGAAGTTCCACATGTAAATCATCATTTTCGCTTTCAATGCGCATGTCCACATCGATCTCCAAAACCAAGTGCTTAAAGTCGCAGTGAGAAAAACAATTCTGAATTGTCTCACTGCTCACTTTTTGCCAGCTATTGGCCTAATATGTAACTGCTTGTAAGTTGCACTGACTTCGCTGGCTTTTGATGATGAGGTCAGCAAACTTTCTTCAATTTCTTCGAGGATGTAATTAACCAACCTTTCACTATAAAGGGTCTTCCAAATTTTTTATGATGCCCATGTCCATTGGCTGGACCAAAGCTGTGTTCCTGGGAGGTAGAAATTCCAGTTGGACGTTCATCAAGAAAACTAAATGAGGATGTGGTGCATAATTGTCAAGAAGAAGCAGCACTTTTCTCGACTGGCGTTGTAGCTCTCTGTTCCAATCCTTCAGCCATTCTTTAAAAAGTTCAGAGGTCATCCACGCATTTCTATTCGCATGATACACAACTGGTAACTCTCCATCCTAAGTCCTTTAAAGCAGCGAGGCTTAATGCTTTTTCCTATAACCATCAGCTTCCTCTTGTCTGATCCTGACATGTTTGAGCAGCACAAGTGAGTTACGCGATCCATCGCTTTTTTGAGCGTGAGATTGCAACATGTTTGTAACTTAACGAGCCGTCCAGTGTAGCACGATAGTACAGCCCAGTCTCATCAGCATTACTGTAGATGTCATTTGCTGAAAAATTTTCAAGAAGCTCAGGCAGTTTTGTTGATTTCCATTCTTCAGCATTTGCACTATCAGCATTTTCTTTCTCGCCATGTGCTTTCTTGAATATTATGTCATGTCTAGATTTCCATTGAGACAACCAATTGTCCATAGCTTTAAAGTCATCGTAGCCCAGCTTTTTAGCGAGTTCTTCTGCTTTGCATCTTAACACTGGGCCGCTTACTCGCACAAATCATCCAGTAACAATGGCAAACCATTCATTAAGGGCCTCATCGACAACTGGGTCCTTGCTTTCACGCTTCCATTTTTGGAAGTTCCTCCTCGTCCTTCACATTGTGCCCATTTTTTTCGCAGCTCATTCTTTTGTTTTATCAAGCACGAAATTGTAGTCTTTGCCAATCCGGTTATTTCCATCAACCTACGCTGACTAGTGTTTTGTGGTTGTTGCTTGATCTTATCCAGGAAACCAATTTTTTTCAGCTAATGTCAGGTCCCATCTTGGCATTTTGGCAGTGGAGACAAGACAGACGCACAGTTCATTGACTAAAGTGGTATGAAGAAACCTTGGTGTTTCAGGTTCAAGATGTTGGAGTCAAGAGGGAGATAAAATGTTCACCATTCAAATTTTTGGCACTAAAATCATCCCAAAAAGGTGACAAAATGATAGCTTTCTCGTGTAAACTTTAATCATGATTGAGAGGCAGGAATTCCTTTTAGGGGGAGCCAGACACTGTATTATTCATTTCCTCGAAACGCAGAGGCGCAGATCAAAGAAAATGGTGCGCACATTCACCTACCACCGGTTTTGCTTTTGTCATGCGCTCTAAAGAATTCCTGACCTTTGATAAAGCATTTTCCTGGGGAGCCGCGACTACAGATCCTCCCATATGTCGCAGACTGCTTGTACATCTGCTGTACGCGGCCGACTCCAACTTGTGGCTTCTGTTTCTTATTTGCTCTCACGTTTTTTGGTCCGATTAAACTGAATTTTGGTCCAAATAAGCAAATAATACTAGGCTTATGTACATAGGATTTGTTTCAGTTCTTTAGGATTTGGTCCGAAAAAGCAGCTGTTCCAATTAACCAGATTCGACTGTATTTAGTTTGTGTGTGTGTTTTTTTTTTTTTTTTTCCTTTCCTTTCTTTCTTTCTTTCTTTCTTTTTTTTTTTTTTCTTTTCTTTTCTTTTTCAAGAAAATGAATGCATTACTCATTTAGTGTCATCTTTCTTGCCTGTAGTGATGATTAGGGGGAACTTTTATTCCATCTGAATAAATTGCTAGAATACAGTTCATATGGACTCTCATAACAGATGGAGGAAATATAGATTGACAAAGCGCTTCTCTGATGAATTGTCATTTGAAATCCTTCTTCATAAACATTGCAGTTTCACCATTGCTACAGAAAGCTATTTAACTAGTATTGTGGTGCTTTGAATTCTGGGATAATGTCTTATTTGTGACACTGTTGTAAGGACAAATGCTTAAATATCGATTTCGCAAACAACCAAAACTATACCTTCCAACTCAAGAAATAAATGCTGATCTGACTCACACTTGTATATTGCTATTTTCAGACCATTCAGAGATCTAACTTCTTTTTGCAGAAAGCTGTAGGATGCCTTCTTAATTCTTTTCTCGTACTTGGTGGGACAGATTTTCTTTTTTAATATACATTTATTTAGGAGTCTAAATATTGCTGTCTTTACATATATTATTAAATCAAGTGTTAATTGATGACTTAATGAGACAAAAGTGATAAAAGTGATTTGAAGCATAAAATTCTGAACACCTTTCTTTATTTCACAGGTTCATTTCATTTCATTTTGTCCGTTGCAACATGCCATATTGAATTGAAGATTCTAAATAGTGACAAACACGCCCATTCATTGTCAAATGCACATGTGATGTTGGGTTGCATTCTAGTTATTTGGTAATAATCTTAATTAGGGCTTATTTCTGGGGTAGGCTTTACTGATTATGAGCACCCTGGAAAATCATGCCAGGTTTTTCTTTTAGAGAAACACAGTATATTTGCAAGAGCTGTTCTAGGTAGGATTCTTTTTTGGGGGGGGGCTATTTTTACTTACAAAGAATTATTTTCCCCTCTTCTCTTCTTTTATGATACTTCCGAAATTAATTTGTGAGCTGTTAAGAACTTAAAAATGGTTTTTCACACTACTCTCAATTTTCTTTCAAGTAGTGACACTTCTTACTTCAAGATTTAGAAGTGTAGTTATATCTGAATTGTGTTTATATGATGTCTTAATTTTGTGTCTGAATTTTTAAACTATACCTCTGAAACTATTAAATTTTTCATAACTTGCTAGGATTATTTAAAACCTGGAATGAAGTTTTTTGATTTTGGAAGGCCATATTGTATTTAAACAAGAAATGAGTATTTGTTTGCATGCTGATAATTTAAAATGCATCAGAAGACTGATAATTATTTGACATAAAATTTACTTAACATAAACAGAATTTTGTTATAAAACCAAAAAAGAAGAAAAAAATAGATGATGTGTACCTGAAAACTTTTGTGGATTGAAATTCTGGGTGCTTTCATATTATTGCAATCACTTTTGGTGATTTTTTGCAGATGAAAAGGTAAAAGTTACTTGTAGAGTGAAAGTTGGTGATTTTCATAACTTTAAAAAAAAAATATTCCTAAGCTATCAATGTTTATCGTAAGTTAGCAAACTTTATCAAGATTTCAAAAGAAAACCTACTGTAGCTATTTAAAATATCAATATTTATTGTAAATTAGCAAACATTATCAACATTTGAAAAGAAAACATACTGTAGCAATTTAAAATACAAATTTTAATTATTAAATAAGGATTATATGATGCATTTAAAAAAAGGATGTTCTTCTTCAAATTTTTGTATAATTTCTTTTTGCTATTCTTCTCTCCAACTTCATAGCGATCTGTTTTCACTTTAAAAAAAAATCAGAAAATTGTACAGACTCGGCATTGTGGAACCTCAGCAACAACCCTCAGATGTGTCTACAAAACACATTTCTTTGTTGCTCCCTTTAGAAATTTTTTAGAAACATTCTGTGTACTTGAAGTTTTTACTGCAGTTTCTTCTATTGCTGGGAAATTCCGCAAGCACATGTTTAAAAATTTATTTAAAAAATATCACAATTTATTCTTAAAAGCAGTTGAAACTTGGAATGCAACAAAAAGAATACATGCAAAAATGGCAACATTGCTTGACTGAAGGATTTTTATGAACATGGTTGCCAGAGTTTGGCAACTTGTACTCAGGTGGTTGTGATAGCATGCAAGTTCCAAATTCTGGGCTGTATGTTTTATAATGATTAAATGGTGTTGAGGGAGGGAACTGATTTTGCATTCTAAAAGGAGTATAGATTAATGGTATACTGATATCTCAAAAGATGCTGGTTTCTTGCTCTAAATTCTTAAAAATATTAGTTCAGAAACAATTGAAGGTGTATTTTATGGTGATGGAAGGAATTAAAACTGATAACATTTATCATGCAGCTTAGTTGTAAATTGAATAAATATTAATTGTTCATTACAAAATACCTTTTTCTCCCCCAAATAATTCCAAATAAAGTGCACCTTAATAATTACATCAAAGATGACTCTTTTGGATAGTAATTCAATTTATTAAAATTATGCATTACATATACATTACAGATAAAAATATTTCAATAAATATAGATCAATAACTAATGCATTTGGCTTTTGATATATGAAAGATGAAAATGTTTTCACTGTATTTTCATCTTAATATTAATAGCATGCTGAATTTTTATTTTTTAAGATGATATTTATAGAAGGTGATAAAAAAAGAGACATAATTCTGATGTGTACAATATTTATGATGCTTTGCACATCAGTATAAAGATTATGTTGAAACATACTCTTAGTAAGGTATCATTGCATTCAGGATTGTGAATAAAATTTGTCTACTTCAGATCCTTTTAAAGCACAGAGGTGTGCAGTAAGTCTTTTCTTCATTACTTAAAGGCTCGTCTTTTTAGATTTGGACTTACTGACTCCTCAGACTATGTGCTCTGTGCCTTTGCTCCAATGACCAGACTTCATCTTTTTTCTTTTACTTCTCTGCAAGATGTTCTTTCACCGTACTTGTTTATGACTCACCCAACTACAGCAGCAATTTCCTTTATTTATTGGTGCCGTATGTTTGAAAGAGTTTAGTCAGATGTAATCTAAAGTAATAATAATAATCTTTTTCCCCCCTATCCCACCCAACAAAACTTAAAACAGTAGCCATTATGTTACATGACATTGCATGACTTTGTCTTGCTGAAATAATAGTGAGACACATATTAAAAGAGAGATTCTGGGCCTTCAATCTAGATCACTCTCATTTTAAATCATCTCCAGACATCTGAATATTTGCCTGTATGATATTTGTTCAAGTCAGATGATAAATATGGTGGGCTGTATTACATGCTGTCAAGTAGTAGATTACAATTTTTCTTCTAGAAAGGAATATTTGACCTGTTTTGCTGCTAATGCAACTGTATTAATACAAGAGAAATTCCTTCGTAAATGGATTAAATCTTTTGAGCCCTGAGACAGCTTTCTGGTTGACATTTTTTACTGCTTCGTATACATGCTGAAATATTCATTTAAGACCTGAACTTTATTTTATCATCTGTTATACGACAGAAAGTTGAATATAAATTTTTTTGTTTTGGTGAATTGCTTGTATTATAAAGTGCATAAATATTTCTTAATTTGCAGGTAATGTCTCCAAATGTACTGCCAGAATTAATGCCTCCTGCATCAGGAGTAATTCTAACTCTGATGTCAACACTTCGGCACAGCATGGTTAATGCAATATTGAAACCCATACATCATACACCAGCTCTAACAAATGGTTATGCTTCATTTGAGAATATAACTACGGAACCATGTATGATTCCCCTGACTCATCATTCGTCTTTGTTGGTAGTCTTACGTGCTATTGTAGAATGCCTTCTTCAAACTGGTGAGTCGTGACATATTTTTAAAAAATATTTTAACAAATCTCAGATGAAAGCTTTTGATTTAAATGATGCTGTTGTGTACAAATTGCTTGTTGTTATTTATGAATGATTTATGAAGTTTTATGAAAAATTTTTCGTTTCTTTATAAAAAGCTTTAAGAATGAAGATTATATTTAATTGAGAAGATTATATTTAATGATATTATATTTAATTGAAGGTCACGGTTGATTATTATTATTATATGAAATTTTCATAATTAAAACAGCTTTTAAAATTCAGATTGATGTTTGTGCTCTAAATCATTCACAATAATGCAAAAGTGATCAAAGTTCCATTTATAAAATAAAGTTATTTAAGACATCTTATTTTTTATTTCAATTGAAATTTATACTATCTATAAAAATAAGTACTTTTTATTTTGCATTTTGCATTGTTTAATAAAATATTAATACATATAATACATGCTTTATTGTTAGGTACTGGCTTGCAAAGAGTGAGGGCTAACTTCTATAGCGCTTTTTTGAATCTTCTTTGCATTGTGCAGAAACCTAATGACATAGGATGTAAGTTCATAATTTAATATTCTGAGATAAAAAATAGGTTTGAAACTGTTTTTTATTAAACTGCTTGTATATGGATGTAAGTATCGGTAATATAGTTCAACCCCCTTTCCAGTCAGAAAACAATTTATAAAATAAATGGGAAACTATGACTAAGTTCTCTTCAGTCCTTATAAAATTTTGAACAAGGAGTTCAAAAAGCAACTTTCATTAGCAAATTATTCATAAATATTTGAAGATGTGGATGCACTCAAGTATTTTTTTTTTTTTTTAATATTCCTGTACTTTTTTTTCTTCAGCATGTCTTGATTGGATTTCAACATAACAGAAAGTGTTAATCTTATTATTGTCAAATAAATAATTTACAAAGGAGGACAGTTTGTCTATATTAATTTAAACTCTTTGAGTTTGCCATCTGCTGGTGACAAATTTGTTACAGTTTCTAAAAGGGTGATAAAAGGGAATTTCAGTAGCCATGGCAACATTGTTTTACCAGAGTATGCTTAACACCTTAGTCAAGAAGTTAACTTGAGGAAAGCTAGAGTCATTAAATTTGTCTCTTACTTTTCAGTTATCTTTGTTTATCATTTCTTCTTCACTCGCTCCTTCCCCGCCCCCAGTTTTATGTGATTGGAAGCAAATATATGTATTGTTATTCTTACTTTTTTCATTTTGCTTTTTTTCAAAGGGCTTCAAAACATAAAAAAACTAACATGGTTTTCCCTTCCACTCATTAGAAAAATCAATTAAAATGAAAAATGACCAGGACAGTTAGGAGACTTTTCCCCAAAATCAGGGATTTTAAAAAAAGAGAAAGAATGTATAGATCACCCCTTTCAATTAATAATTTTTTTTTTTTTTTTTTTTTTTTGTTTAAATAATAGCTAGTAAACAAAAATTGTCTCCTTAAACAGAAAGCTAATAGATGCCCTTGAGAAATAAATAATGTAGTTAAGAAACCCTTACACTTTATTGTGGTATATTCTGATGTTAATAGTGAAATGAAGTATGATGGCTTTCACACCCGCTTGCTTCTGATGGAGAGAGACTTCTCAGAATTGTTAGAAAATTCTGAGTTGGATACCAATAAACAAATGTTTATTAATATTGTTTTCAATTATTTAATGTATATTATTTATGTGATTGAATTATTTATAAATCATTTTAAACTTGTATGTAATAAGCTGATCCTCAGACTTTAGTAGTAAAAAATTTGTTGGTATGTGGAGATATGCAGTAATTGCTCTTGAAATTTACATGCATATGCTTTTTAATATTTAGGAAAGGCGTTTTAAACTATTTTACAACCCTACAAATTTTTATTTAAGCTATATTTATTATTTGGATCATTTTATATAATTTTGTAAACTTTAGTAACAGTGTGTCAAAAAATTATGATTATCATTATTGTCAATTTATTAAGATGACCTCTTGTTTATAGCTTCTGATCAAAGTAGTGTTGCTTCTATGGTCCTGGATCAAGAATCGGAGACAAGGAAACTTCGGTCGGAGTACATGGAAACAATTCTCAGCTTTGGTGAAACTATCATGGAAATCATATGTAGAGATGCTTGTACAGGTCATGATATCACAAAAGTATGCTTAATATTTTATTTTTACTTAATCTATTAAAGTTTTCTTGCAAATCAGGTTTTTTCATGAAGAAATTTCTGTTTTAGCTGGCCATTTAAAATTTTTTTTAATTGTTCAAAAGAAATATCAGAAATTCTGCATAAAATTTTTAAAGGTATTTGATTTCAAATTAATTGTAAGTAGTTAATATAAAGGTCGAGATTAACCATAAATTATATATTTTATCAATTTTGTTACAGGCTTGTTGCTGCTGAAGTAATTTTTTTTGGTGGGAGGGGGTCACATCAAAAGTTTTGTGATGGAATTTTGCTATTGACATTCCAAACTTTAAAACATGAAAAATGTCTGATTAATTAGAATTACTGAAAATTCTATTCTTAATTTTATGTCATATCCTTTTAAACCAGTTTTTGTTTTATATAGCTACATAAAGTGTATCACAATATTTGTAATCATCTAATCTGAGAATTAACATTTCTTGAAATGCTGTCAAGAATCTTTGAGGTTTAGACTTATCTTCAGGTCAGACTTTTAGCATTTAATACGTTATTGTTTAAAGTAAATGTTAAATCTTTATGAATATAGACAAAACCAGGTATAGCATGTTTCTGAACTTGAACCATTATTATACATTATATAGAATATACTTTTATTTCATCACAATCTACAGGAACCTAAATTAAAAAAAAAAAAAAAAAAGTATTGTGTATTATTTGTTTTGTGTTTTTATGCATCTACATTACAGTTTATTCCCAAAACATTTTGCCAACTATTAAACATTAAACTCTCTTTTGTTTTTACCTTATTGATATAAATTTGCTACTTTTGTGCCAGGAGTCTTTATGTAATTACAAATTTGTGGTTTATTGCTTTTTCTTTTTTGTCAGTATTGCCAATAACCAGTTTCTTCAAACAGAAAATATCACTGCTGTTACCAGTGTTAAAATATCTATTGAATCAGTGGCTGCAATGTTAACACAACTTTCACTGTCTTATCGCTGCTAAAATTTTAAGACATTTCATATGGTTTTTCTTTTAATATGTTTAACCCTTCAAGTGGCCGAGGGTATAGCCATAAAACCCTAAACTTCCAAAATGCCACGAATAAGTGCATATTTCAAATAATTTTTTAAAATGCATTCTGTGTACTTGAAAGCTATCGTGAGAAATATTTTTAAACATATGCATACGGCTTGGCCACTTGGATGGCTAAACAAATGTATTTGAACTGGCAAAATTGGCTGAGAATAACCCATAACTGAGACAGAGTCATTGATGGCAATTTGCTATGAGCATGATAATTGTCGGCCCAATTTACAAACCTCAAGCCTTAAATTTTATTGACATTATTTTTGATGTACCGTGACTCTCATCTGTGGTTCTTAAGTTTTACAAACCATGAACCTGGCATGTGTGAACCCAGTTTCTTTACCAGAAGTGTCACTATGCACTGTAGGCAAAGGTTTTATCAATTTTTATGGCATTTATTGTCAAATGATACAGCAAAACTAAGTAACAATAATTAATAAATTCCCCTCCCTTCCCTTAGAATTCATAATGCTGAAAATTTGTGATTTGCTTACATATGAAAGTGAGCCTACTGTATTCTTCCAAGAAGTGTTATTTTGCCCTTCACCTAAATTTGCAAAAATAGGCATGAACTGATGTATTTATCACTGCAGAAGCTGTCTGAAGATGAAATGTGGATAATTGCCAGAAAAAGGAAAACCTTCACATTGGCAACTTTGTGATTTTTTCAAAAATCCCATTCTCGACTGTAGTAATCTGCTGTTGCCAATTTGTGGCCATCTGAAAAATAAATTACAACTTCTTTTAAGTAGGAATTTGGGGAAATATTTTCCCTCCTCATTTTCATTTTTTCTGTGTGGCACCTGATATTTTTTCTCCTTTGGTTGATGGTAAAACAGACAAAATATTGGGGGGGGGGTAAATCTCTTAATGTGCATAAATAAAAGCATTTTATTATAAGTTTTTATACAAAAACTTTGATTTACAAAATATGGTCAAAATTATGTATTTGCTACTGAGTTTCTTATTTACATAATTATGCATCAATTAATTTTTTCAGATGTTGGCATTAGCTGTCCTTGATGTTGCTGTCTCCTTAGATATCCAACAGCAGTGGCTAGCATTTTTAGTATCTAAGGGCTACATGAGACATATCCTAGATAGTTTGTCCAAAGATGATGAAGAATTGCAAAATCTCTTTAATAGAAATTCAAGTTCATATAGAATTTTCTATGTTTTTGAATCCAAAATGGTAAGAAACTTTTTAATGTGTTAATTTTTAAATAATTTTATTTGGTGGTAAACAGTATGCTTCATAAAAACATATGTTGTGCAAATGAGTCGTTTTTCCTCTGTTGTTTGTGCAAGCTTTTCTCTTGGTTCTATAAATGAAATATTTTTAAACTAGGAGAATTATGTTCATTCTCCTGCCACTCAGTCTGTTGTGGCATGTTTTTAACTTGTTGTTGACCTGTTTCTCTGCATAATCAACAGTATATGAAACCATTCTTATATTCATGAAATAACACAAGTCTGTATAGAACTGTGCCAGTGTATCTGATGCTTCCATTCTTCTAGTCACCCGTTGCTTCTAGTCAATGGCATGTTTTACCTTTCATACCTGGAGCTGCTAACCAACCACCTTTCATTAGACTTCACTTAATATAATTAACTCAAACAGTTTTTTATAATTGTTTCTTCAAATTTTCCTACCTGCTATTATATGTGTAAAAAGTGTTTCAAAAAATTGTTTGTAATTTTAATGTTAACTGTACGAAAACTTTTAATGAGTTAGTTTGATACACAAACTTTTTTTAAAACCTTGCTTTATGTTAAATATTAAATTGTGTGTAATAATAATGGTGCATAATGCATATATACATATTTCTGTTTTATTCTTAAAATAATATTGCGAAAGAGAAGTCAGTTGCATAAATAATTTCTTTATTCAATTATTTTTTCATTGATGTTCCTTAATTTCCATTTAAAAAAATATGTGCATAATTTATATAGATTATAAATTTTACCCAATTAATGCTGAATTTTGGGAGCCTTTATTATATTTTACACAGATTAATCAAATCATAAGCTAGACTCTCAGATGGCAGAATTATTTATTCTGACAGCTGTATTTGATAATTCTAATAAGTAGGAAAAGGACCAAATAGGAAACATACAATAGCTATTTAATGGACTTCTTCAGCTTCTGCATATGTGCAATTTGACTTGTAGTTATACTTATTTTTAATTTTGTGTTTGCCTTGTATTTGAACTCAAAATTTGAAAAACAAATTATTTAAGGAATTTTTTCAGCATTTTTTGGATCTGATTTTATTTATAAATTATTATTATGTATTTACAGTAATAAATTTGTATTTTTATGTTACAGACTTTAGATTTGTAGACAGAAATTATATGAAAAGTAAATAATCATAATTTTATTCATTAGGCTTTACTTACAAGAATCAGTTGTTATACTAATGGTGCATTAGCCTTGTTAAGAAATGGTGCTATACACAGGCTGGCTGAATGCAGATCTCTAGACCTAAGACCTGATTTGTAGGTTTTTAGCTTTTGTATCATTAATATTTTAATTATATTAAACTTTCCCACAGAGTATGTTCTGTGTGTACATTTTAATATTCTATTTGGAATCTTATTTTACTGTTTGTCTGTAATCTGCTACTAATATTTTATATTTTAGTGTGCTTTCTTAATATGTTTGTCAAATTGTGCATATACACTTTTTAATTTTCATTTAATTTGTAAAATGAGTATTAAAAGTTGATCGATGATATACATGGCTTTTATAAATTAAAAAAGTATTATTTAGAGTAGCAAGATCATTTCGAAATGAGTGGGAAAAAGGCACTCTTAATAAAATTTTAAATACTATTTGATCAAAAGTGAATTTATTTGTGTGTGCATATTATTAACCCATTCGCAACCTGCATGTCATATGTGCATCTGCAGCAAATATTATCACACAACCAAGGGTGTCATGTGAATCGCCATTTAATTCACTCTGTGGCGGGGTGTACCACATATGACTTTTTAGATAGAACATTTAATTAGCATTTTTATTTTTCCACTAGATGTATCTGTATGTCTGTTATAGTGAAATATATCTAAAGTGAAGTATGTTGACCTCATTCCTATGAAATGTTTTTTATTTTTTATTTTTGGTATTTTGTTTTGAAGTGAGAGCCAGATTGAGCAATGTAATGGCCCTTTAATTGGGTCAATTGATATAAGCAGTTTATACAAGCATATGCACCTGTCCTGAATGCTTTGGAATACATTTTTTAGACATATAGGCCTGTAAATGTTTGTATCATTAGAGATTTTATTTATTATGCTTAAATTTTTTCCTGCATTAAGATGGATATGTATTGAGTTTTTCTGAGATGATATTTTTGTGGATTTGAAAAGTGAAAGCTGTTCTAATATGGGCATACTATCAGATGCAGAATTTGCAGCATATGTGCCTTTTACATCTCAGGGCAACGATTTAGTGGACCCATTTTGGACTAGGACAATTCAAGATTTAAAACCTTTTAATTTTGTAGAAGCACATGATATTAATGCTGTAAATGCTACCAAAGAAATAATTTTTTTATGAGGCTCTTACAGAATTTATTGTAAAAGAAACAATTTTACACCAAAATCATCTTAGAGGGAGCCCATCTTTTTCAAATTCAGGGAAATTTTCAGACCTGACACCAGAATAAAAGAAAATGTTTTTTGGTTTGCTTATTTTATGGGAATTATAAAAAAAAAGCCTAATATAAAAATGTGTTTTTGCTCCAATGAGATGCCCACTACTTTCCGAGTCAAGTTCTGGGTTATGTGTGAAACTTTTAAATTTACTATGGAAAGGAGACTATAAGCAGTGACACTGGTTCATACAGAGAATGAGTGGTAAGAACACTGTGGAGCGAGTTATCTGAGAAAGGATACAATTTATATGTTGACAGATTTTATTATTGTTATTATTTCCCCATCACTTGCACAATACTTAGAATCTATGAAGACAAATCTGTGGAACCTTTATGAAGAACAGAAAAAATGACTCAAAGAATTTTTCAAGAAAAGACAAAAAAGTGAGAGGTAGATGTTATGCGGCATAAAGATATGAATGTGACCGTTTTTAAGGAGGGAGGAAAATTGTATTTTAGTGACAACAGTACATGTGCCAAATTTGGCTAAATGTGGGAAGAAAGAAAAACCAAAGAAGATATTCTGAAGCTTACTGATATTTTAGATTATGCTAAACACATAGGAGGCATTGATCTAGAAGACGTGACCCATTATCCACTATTCTGAAATTCTGTAAAGTCATGTAAAAATTGTTTTTTTGGGTTGACGAACATTGCAGTAATGAATTCCAGCATTCTTTAAAAATGCTCTCAAATTTAAAATGAAGATTTTCAGCATCGCCCAACCAGTATAGTGATTAGCATCACTGATTGCTGTGCCCGGGTTCAAATCCCAGAGAAGGCATGGATATTTGTAAATGTATAGTGTCCGTGCAGCATGGCGGCACTCTAAATATGCGGCAAGCCGAAAGTCCTCTCATGAGGTAAGTGGTAGGGAAAGAGGGTGGAAGACCTTCGGACTTATCTCTCCCGGGGTGCTCTTCATCAAAATTGGGGGCGGAGCTGAGCTAAATCACACTGTAAGACGCCCATGTCTGTTGCCAACAACAGGAGTAATCTTGCCCTACTTGCCACGAAGAATTTTGTGAGCTTTGGCTGACTATCTGTTAGACAAGTGAGCATTAGTCAACAACAACAGATTTTCAGCGAAACACTTCCCTACTTTAAATCCAAATAAAAGTGGAATAAAAGTGGCCACATTCAATATATAGTTTGCTTAAAATGGGTTTTAAAAAATATATGTATTATTATGTTATTTAGATAAAAATTATATTTAACGTGTTTTATAAGTAATTAAAAAAAACCTGAAAGTTTTTGGATTTTATATTGCATCCAAAGGGGATTTTTTTTAACATTTTGTATGTTACTTTTATTTATTAAATATCATGTCTTCTCACTTAAATGATAAAATTCAATTCAAGAGCAATATCACAAAATAATTTAGAATAAAAAAGAGCATATCTTTAGAATTTTGGTACACAGTCTTGGCATGCTGGAGATTTTTTTTTTAAATGTGTGTACAGTGTTGCCATCCCTCTCTTTGAAATGGTTGAGTTTTTAATCAAAAAATTCGCTAATGTTTTACAAAATGTGAAATAGATAATAAAACAAATTCCAGATTCCAAATTAGGGCTTCCAGATGCACACATTCGGGTGGAGGATTACGTTATTCAGAATTGGATGGCTCATTGTTTTATCACAACTGGAGAAACATACATACATTTATGCAGGTTCTTCATAATTTATTTTCTTTAAATATAATAGAGGGCAATAATACTTTGTGGCAACAATTTGAAAAGTGATAAAGCGTATTAAGAGTTCTCGATGCAAAATGCCCAAATGAAATTAATAGCCCTTCTGGGCTAAAAGGAAAACTACAGTATTCTATTGTATTCTTATGACATATACAACACAGGACTTTGCATACAACCATATTTCAGAGAATATCATACATTACCTCCTTTTTTAAATATTGCTCCCTTTTCATTGTCTTCATGTTGGTTTTTTATGAAGAAGAGTTTTAATATCTTTTATTTTTAATTATATGTTGTGTTAAATTAAATTTGTGATTGTTTAGTTATTTTTCCTTATATATTTAAGAAAGTCAAAAATTATATTACTCTAGAATTGATTATTTTATAAATTTTTGAGGAAAATATAATGAATAGAATCAGTTGAGTTCAAGAAAGGTAAAGCTTTAAAATTAATTCTGATAACTACTTAAATGCTCCTATCGTAATATACCAAAAATAGGAACAATTAGACTACAAATTTAATTTATATAAGTTGTTTTTCAAAGTTAGGATTTCTAGCAATATGAATTACCCATTCCTGAAGACAGTGCATCTGGTTAGCTCGCCATCCCAAGAGAGTGGTTCGGTAACTGAGCTGCCTGCTGCGAACAGGTTAAGACAGACATTAATTGATTTTTGGTACTTAATGCCATCACCATAGTAGATAATGGCATAGTGATGGGGCATTCTGAGATTTTACTCACAAATAAGTAGTTGATTATGGCAGCCCTACTAGTTAACCCCATATTAAAATTAAGGGCGAAGTGATTGCTAACAAATTGATTTATTTAAGTTTGATCTTGAAATACAATACATCTATCTTTACTTTTCAAAAAATTTTGACAGAGAAGAAAAGTGAAGGTATACCATATTTTTAAGATTATACCTCAGTAATTATGTTGAATTCAATTCGATTCCTGAACATTTAAAATGTAGTTATTGCAATAAAACAGGTCTTTTATTTCTGGAGAGAGGGAGAGAAAACTAGTCCTTTCACTCACATTAAAAAAAAAAAAAAAAAAAAAAAAAAAAAAAAACAGTAAAATGTGAATAATTTTTAATAAATAGTTTTTGAAATGGGATAGCAAACTGAAGTAATCCTTCTTATTGACAACTCTACAGCACATAATGTAAAATTGTTCATAAGCATATTGAATTTTTCTGTTTGACAGGAAATACTGCAACCATGCGATCAAGAGAATATTAGAGCAATGACTAACATTATTGCCATGAAATGAATATGAGTCCTTTATAACAGATGATATGGATATAAGTGCAAATGAATTAGCAAGAAAAACCAGCCTTCGTGATGCTCTACTTTTGTAGAACATGTCCTACAACTCAAGAAAAGACAATAAAGAACCATTTTAAGCATGAGAACCTTTTAATAAATGCTGAAATACTGGATATTGAACTAAAAACAATTCTCCAACCAATGTGCATTGTGGACAATTAAAATTCAAAGCTTGTGTGGATATTGAGGAGCAAAAATGTTTCTAGATCACTGAAAATATTTACCACATGTTTTTGAAACAAATCCAAGCACTCATGTGATAAATTTTCTGAAGGACATGATGATGAAATTGGTAAATTACTTGCAAATGCTGAAGTGAGAGCTGCTGTTCCAGTGTTAAGGTTAGGTGTACAGCATCAATCAAATAATTTTCAGAAACATTATGAATATGAACAATTCGTGAATAATTGCATACAATTGCAGACAGTTAACTATTAATCACATTTTCTCTACCTAAAATGCTGTGAAAGTATTTATGTTTTAATTTCTATTTATATTGAATTAATTTAATTCCATTGATGTTTAGAAGAATGTTCATCTCCTCACTTAATGCTACCAAATAGTTATGTTCACATTAAGCAGTGCCTGCTGTAGATTCATTTACGCACATTATTTAATACATTGATTCTTTATGAATAGGCCAAGTGAACTGAAGCAAGACAGTAGTAATTGGATACTTCCTGATCTCTTGAAATGCTATCGACAAATGTTTATGGCAATCATGAAGTTAATACTGTCTGTGACCATGACCTTGGGTTCTAGTCACAGAGAAGCTACGTTACAGGTATTTTCGTTTTGTAATATATTTAATTTTTTTTTGCTTTGTTTTCCCTCTTTTTAATCTGTAAACAAGTAAACTGTTTTATTATTTCTTTTTACAAAAATTTATTGCTATATTGCTAGTGCTGTTTTTCCTTTTTAGCTGTTAGAATTTGTGGCTTGTAATGGAGAGTTGTTTTCGCATGTGATACGAGATCCATCAAGTTTGCAAACTCTTGAAGCTTTAGAAGAGTTGAGTGTAATATCAGCTGTACTTTCACGTGCAAGTTTTGATGGTAATGCGTTCTTTCTTTATTAAATAGTGTGAAGTAAATATAAATTTAAATGATTTAGATTGCAAATCATATAAATCCCTTAATTATAGGTATATTGAATCTATGTGCTAAATTTTTATTGTATACTTTGTAAAATTATGTTACATTTAATTAATTATCTACCTGCTGTTTTTTCTGTAAAAATAAAATGCTATAAAAGAACATTTTGGAGTATTTTACTGTACAGTTGCTAGAATTTTTAAAGAAATATATAAAAGATTGTTTTATATTCCTGCTATTATTATTTTAATACCTGTAAAAATATGCTCCTCTTTTTTAACACTTTTTCTTTAAATTAGAAATTCTGAATACTAAAATGCATAGTTGAACATTTGAATAAAATGTGATTTAGAATGCTAAGATGGCCTGTTGTCTGAAGAATTCTTCAAGTGATGCAGTTGTTTTATTTAATTGTACATATTGCCTAATATTTTTAATATTAATACAAATGCGTGTGATTTTCAGTTAAAATAGCAAAGTTTTAAAGATAGCAGTTTTAAAATGTTTATTAATTTTAAGACAATATATTACATTTATTAAATCTTGCTACTAAAAATTGAATAGAAATGTAGTTAATTGAATACTGAGGTACGTAATACATGGCATAAGAAATATCTTATGTGTCACAATAATGCTATTAATACTTATAAAATTATCAGTTTGGTATATTATTTAAATATTAAGATTCAGAAGACTTGTTACATCCACTTTAATACATATTAAGAAAAGTATTAAGAGTTTTAGGGTTCCTAACTCTATGCTTTTGTATAAAGAATTTCCAGCATACCATCAGCAGCTGTGTAAGAAATCATAATTGAGAAAATATAATACTTTAAATGGTTTCCATAAAAAGCTTAAATTATATTTCTGCTTATGATACTTATTTAGTTTGCACTTGTTATATTTGTATATTGAATTATTTTATGTTTATAAAAGCCTCCTGGGGGGGGGAAATTGTGCTAATTGCTTACTTCTTCGAGAAATTTTAGCCAAAATGCCACTAAAGAGATTTATGTCACATCACATGTCTCATTTGAACATTATGTAGGTAGAAATTAGTAATTTCTTCTATGAAAGTTCGCCCATTGTTGTCATTGATTAGATTAGGGGCTCCGAATGGGGTTGGTGCAGACCCATCCTTTGGATTTCACCAACCTTGGGAGTTGATGATGACCAGGGGGTCGAAAGCTGCATATGTGGTAAAAAAATTAATAAAATTGATTAACTGGAAAAATTAATAAAATTGATTATTGAAATTGTTTATTGATGTAAAGCTATATCATACAGTATGGGGAAAAATCATTTAATAACTATTAGGGAAAGTGTACAAAAAATAACTTAATATAACATACATTAAATCAATATTTTTGTAACATATAAGTTTTTTAAATATTAAGTACAATATAAAAAAGTAGAACTCGAAAACACAAGAGCATGAAAAAAAAAAAAAAAAAGTGCAAAGTAGGCAAAACTAATAAACCACTGCAAAATCTGCACCTATTCTTTGAGCCTGCCAACTGTTGAGACCTGTTAACAGAAGTTATCCTCAAATGGCATCATCAATATGCAAGTGTATCCTTTGCATTTGACAAAAATAGAACAGGCTAACTCCTGCCTTCCCCCATTTATGCTGTATATTAAATTATATTATTTGTATGCTCTATATTAAAGAGAAAAGTGTGAGGGGGTTGATGAAAGAAACAGTTCTTTTGAGAAGAATTGATGCAAGAAAAAAGTTAGGAATCCCTGGATTAGAGAAAAGGAAAGAAAAATTAAGCAAAATGAAATTAATTAATTTTTAGAAAACCAAATGTCATTAATTAGCATTTGGTTGATAAATAATATCATCTTGCCTCCACTGCATTATCAAACTAATCCTGGTGAAACAGTTAATGTCAATTATTTAAAAAGTGTTGAAAGTGAACTTAGAACTGAAATGCCTGAGTGAAACAAAAATTTAAGTTTGTACTTTCAGTATTGATTTCCATTAAAATATGTATTCTTCATAAAGAGGAAGAATTTTAGAATACCTAGACCAAAATAAACGTGCTAATGATAATACAGTCTTAACTTTGAAAAGTGTAAATAAGTGTTAGTGGATTATTAGTGTGCACTTTATTAGTTAATGTTAGTTACTAATAACTACTTTTTCAGCTAGCTATTATGTAAGTTCAGAGAATTTAGTAATTTTATTTTATTTATTATATACAGTCAAAAGTCTTTAATCCGGACTCGTCGGGACTTTGGCGATTCCGGATTATCGGTTTTTCTGGATTATAGATCATCAGTTTAAATCTTGTAAGATGGCATGCAGAAAATTATAAAATTAAAAATATGAAACCTTATGAAATTAAGAGCAATTATGATCTAAAAAGTATTCAAATTTACAAAAAAAAAAAAAAAAAAAAAAAAAAAAAAAAGAGAGAGAGAGAGGAAGCAGCTTAATATTTATTTGTTTACTTTATTAAACATTTCTTTCAATGCGTGCCTGCATAAAGCATACATTTTGAATAGTCGAAATTAGAAAATTGCAACCAGAGAAAACTATTTGATGTGTATTTGTGATATTTATAATGACGAGGAATTTGATTTAAATCATATCAAAGACGGAGTACATCAAGATGAAATACTACATTTAGTAAGGAATTATAAGCCGAATAAAATAAAAACATCTGCCCTGAAGATAAGGATAGTGCTGACAGATCAACTTCCAATTCATTGCACGTTGCGTCGTCCCCCCTCCCCCCTGAGCAATTTAAAAGTACATACTTCTTAATACTTTAATTGTTAGTCAATTTTTTAATAATCCACCCAATTGATATAATTCATAATATATGAAATTAATAATTTAATGAACATTTGCATTATAATTGCAATTTATTATAGATGTTTTCAGTGCTGTATGTTACATACACAGTAAAGAATCATTCAGTTCATTGATTTGTTAATATGTGCTTATTTTAAGTAGGCGTTTTTACTCTTTTTGTAGATCCCAGCACTCTAACAAGTGACACTTTTTTAAGTGAACAAAGGGGTCATCTTCTTTTATTAAGGCAGCATATGCTTATGCTTATACCTCGACTCATGGCGAGTGAAAGTGCTGAAACAGTTAGCCAAAATACATCAAACCAGAACGATCCCGAAACTGCTGTGCATATGAAAATGTGCCGGCTGCAGATTGCATCACATGTTCTAGGCTCATGCTGTAGTATTATTACAAAATCAGGTATCTGATTATTTTCACACATATTTTACAACTTGACTTATAATGTATACTTTTTTCTAATGCTCACATTCATGTAATGTCTGCTGCTTAATTATCAGAGGATGAGGAGAAAAGTACTTTTGCTTTTCAATTTATATTTAACTATAAAAAAAATACATTTCGAGGATGTTGTTATATATGCGTAATTTTGTAGTTACGTAAACAGTAACATCAGTTTTAGATAATGTGTTAAAAATAATAATTGCTAAAATATTACTTCTAAAGATAGTGTGTGTCTTGCTCATTTTGAAGAAAATATGCAAAACTATGTGAGTATATATAATAAGGAATTTGAATTTTGTGTATAAGCTTTGTTTTCCAACCGCCCCCCCCACATGTGTCTTATCCTCCAACAGTTATCATGGCCATGCCATTAAGAGAATAAAAGCAAGTTAAGTTAAATTGGGAAATAAATAACTCATGTAATATTTGCACCTGGAGACGTGTGAAATTTTTAGGTAAAAAGTGTAGACATTCAAGTATGTAAAGTTTATCTTACTCTAATTTTTATGGGATAAATTACTTTTATTCTTATAGATATTTTAAACTTTAAAAATCCCTGTCCTAAGAAATCATGTTATAAATATGGATTTCTGTAATGTATGTTTGCATCATATTAGAGTAACATTTGATAAAAATCTCTGTAAGTATTTATATATTCATTATCATAAAGTCTAGCTAAAAGGACTTCATGTCTTAGCCCTCTGTTGATTGATGTCTTTGAATAATAGGGATTTACAATGTAACCAATTTAAGTTGTGTAATTTTGTTCAAGCTTGTTTCATGCAACATCAGAGTGTAAAAATTTTGTTTATGTTGCTAATGACTTTATTTTTTAAAAAATACTTTATGGTTGTGAAGATCAGGAATATTATAAGTTAGATATGTTGTGGAAGTTGATGTGATTTTTGCCAAATATTCTATGTATATTTCCAAATTTTTTGTCAACAGTGTACATTAGTATTGAAATTATTTTTGCAGCTTTACATTTATACATAAAGCATTGTTTGCTACTTCTCTGTTTTGCTAAGTGAGATTTAATATTACAGAGGGGCCGATTCTCTCAATTTAGGTGGGAGATTTATAATTTTTTATCGTACTATTAGCAGTCTTAAAACATATTTCTTGTCGCTTTTCTTATTCCTAAAACTTCTTATGATTCCCACGTTGCTTTGCTTAATATTTTGTTATTTGTACCCAAAAGCAAGATTACTGATGTCTAAAGTTAATTAGAGAAATGCTTTATTTACATTAGAGGCTACTTATGTTTATCAATGCACAAATTTTCATTCAACAATGAAGTAATTTTACATACAAAATTTCCATTTACTTCTGCTCTAAAAAAACCATCTTCTTTCTAATATTAGATATTTTTAATAGAATCCCAGTTTTTCATTTAATTTTGAAAGGTGATGAAATTAATATTTCAGCTCTAAATTTACATTATCAGTTTTGCAATTTATGATTAGCAGACTTGATAAAGTTATAAAATCAGCAAGAATTTGTCCTCTAATGGAGAAAAATTGAAAAACTGGAAGATCCCGCTGGAATTTCAAAATATTGTCCAAAATACCCTTGAAATTAAACATGTTTAAATACAAAAAGTACGGGTCGGGAAAAGTGGATGTGTTTTCAGTCTTTATTTTGAATTGGGAAATTTCAGTTTGAATGTTATAGTTTTGCACACTTACATGAGTTGCATATTAAGTAAGTCAAGACATTACTGTATCACTATTATCAGATTTAAAATAAAATTTTAAAGTTTGATGTAAAAAACATCATAATTTATGCATGTAATAAGTGTCATGTTTAATTTTAGGAGTTGATGCTCAGAATTCTACAATCCTCTTCAGTCCTCATATAGCTGAAGCTACAACCTCAGATACTTTCCATTTAACTGCATCAAGTTTGTATAATTTTATTCGTTTTGTATATAGGTATATTTAAATACTCAATATTTTCTAATTAATAATTATGCAGTGGCAAACAGAAAAACTGCATCACCTAGGAAAATACATATTTTGATGAATTATTTTGTTCACATAAAATTATCTTAGTTTCTGCAAAGCAAGATATGCGATCATTCCACGTTCATATTGCATCAAACAGTGCTTCCGAAGTATTGTGTCCTCCGGTTTCTAAAAATAGAGCGGCAATAAAGGAAAACATTTATTTTTCTTTACGTGATGAAAGGATGGCTTTGTATGTTCATTTGATGCAAAAGAAAATAAATGGAGGGTGGCTATTGCTGAAGTTAAAACAGTACATTCAACACTTGTTATCGCTAAAATTATTGGCTGCAATCAGTCAACAGTCTGGAGCTTGATTAATTTTGAGTTGGAAATTGGTGATGTTCAGAGAAGAGCTGGATCAGGCCAGAAGAGGGAATCGCAAAATCTGATGATCGATGTCTAAATTAGGTATCTCTCCAAAATCATAACGCAAGTGCTGCTGATTTAAACGTTGAATTTAAGAAAGACTATGCTAGTCATTTAAGCGTATAAACTATCCAAAGTTGTTTTGCGAAGTGTGGTCTGTATGCGTATCACCCCAAGAAAAAGCTTTTATGTCCCCCCTGCCCGAAAAAAAAGATACAGAAGCAATTTTCTTTGGCAAAAAAGCATGTTTCATGGACAAAGGCACAGTTGGAACCAGTAATTTTTTTCAGATGAATCTAAATTTAGCCTACATGGATCAAACAGCTATAGGTTTAGAGCCATAAAAGTGTAGCTTATTGTCCAGATTACATGTTGTCTACTGTGAAATCCTCAGCAAGCCAAATGGTCTAGGAAAGCATATCCCGCAAAGAGGTTAACACCTGAAATTTATTACTGGAATTTAGAATGCATCAGTTTATACCCACGTCTTGGAGGAATGTTTAAATCCAGTTATTTAGGATCATTTTAAAAGTGCTAGAAATTGCATTTTTCATCAGAACTCTGCACCCTGTCATACAGCGAGGATCTAATTTATTTATACATGAATTTTTGCCTCGTTGACAGGTTTCGATCTTCACTATATAATGGTTAATGTAAAGGTAATTTTCCTCCCATTTCCCTCCTTTCAGTGCAGGCCAATCTGACAAAATTTGGTGTTGAATTTTTGGATTGGCCTGGGAAGAGTCCTGATCTGAATCAAAATGAAAATTGTTGGTATATAATGGGTACCAAAATTGCTGCTATCGATTGGACTGCAAGAAAGCATTATTAGGGTTTGAATCCATGAAATTGGCCAGGATTACTTTCAAAAGTTGGCAACTTCTATGCTGCCTTGCCGCAAGGCTGTCATTTTAGCTTATGGAGGATTTACTAAATACTGATGTGATCCTTATGTGTGTATACACATCTAAGTACATGTAACATGACTGCAGTTTTGTAAAAATTACATTAACTACAAAATTTGTGTATCAGTTACTTTGTACTGCATTTTGTTAAATATTGCATTTTTCACCCGTTATAATTTTTCTGAGTAATTAAGTATAAATAAATTATTAATAGTAATGAAACTTGACTAAGTTTAATCCTACAGCTTTATTTTATTAAAACAATATAATCTTTACTTAAAACACATTATTTGCACACTTTTTTGCAAGTGGTGCAGTTTTTTTTTTGGGGGGGGAGTCTGCTACTGTAACATATATGTATCAATTCCTGTGGAAATTTATACTTAATGTATAATTTGTCCATATAAATTGTTATGGAAATAATATTTCTTTTCAGGTTTTCAGAAACGTCTTCCTCTGAGCATTGGACGAGCTCCAGATTTAGGACTTCTTATCACTCTTTTATATCGTTCAGCCTCCGAGCTTCAGATCAGCACAGATGAGCAAAAGTTGCTCATTCGCCGCTTACAGTCTCTTCCTACACTGACTAGTGATGAATTAGCTGAGGTATCTTTCATTTGTTGATCTTGCATTTTCTCATCGCGTTTAAACTCTGTTAATGTGGAATAGATTCTTAATACTCAGAATGTCAGATTTAAAATTCAGCATATTAGTGTAACCTGATGCCAAGATATGTTATAATTTTCAGTCATTATCATTTGGTTTTTATCAGTTATAAGTAAATCATTTAAAATTTCATCATTAAATCATAAATTTTTTTTAAAATTAAATATGTAAAGCTGTTTACGTCAATGTGTTCTGGTAGGAAAATAATATTTGTGGAAAATTCTGTGGCCTAAACCATTCAGTTGTCAGAACTAAAAATCCTGAGCAAATAACCATATCTTAATATTTTTAATAAGGTGCTGGAGAATTAATTTTGGGAAGGACTTCCCTCCCTCTAAGAAGTAATTAATCTTTTTTGGGGGGTGCGGATTAATTCTACATATAATTAGCCGTAGTTCAGCTTTGTGTTTGAAATATAATTTTATGTGTAATATGTACGTTTTTTAAATGGCATTTCACCTATTTTAATTGCCTGTACAGTACAAAGTCTGTAATCCGGACTCATCAGGACTTCGGTGATTCTAAATTATGGGTTTTCCGGATTATAGATCATCAATTTAAATCTGGTAAGATAGCATGCAGAAATTATACAATTAAAAATATGAAACCGTAATTTATGAAATAAAGAGCAATTAGGATCTAAAGGGTATCAAATTTCACAAAGCTTAATATTTATTTGTTTACTTTATTAAACATTTCTTTCAATGCGCGCATGTGTAATGTATGCACATTCTTTACGCGCATGTGTAAAGTCCGGATTATAGATTATTCCGGATAATGGATGTCCGGATTACGGACTTTGTACTGTATATATTAAATGAAACTTTTTATTTCAGTTTCTTCCCATCGCCATAAAGCAGGATCAACCAACTGTTCAACAACAAAGAGATATAGCAAGAAATTCCATTCAGAAATTGATTAACTATAAAACACAAGAAATCTCTATCCTTAGCTGTATCCTTTATGTGTTTATGCTGGCTACTCTGAAGTTATCAAAGTTTTGCTGCAACTATTATTTATATATTAATTCCTGGACAAAACTATGATTACGTTATTAAAAAAATAAAACAAGTTTAGGTTTCAGAAGTGATTAAAACTTCATTATTAGCATGTTTCTTTAAAACTGTGAATAACTGTTTAAATTATTATGATAGTAAAATAAATTACTTCCCTTTCAATTCCATTTATCCTTTATTATTCTTAAGCTCCCTTAAAACAGATTATTTTTTTCCTGTCAAAATATTATCATTTTTTGAGCTTTTATAGTATTTTAATGTTTGTATTTTACTTTTCCAGAAAACTTATTTTATTTCCATTTGTTTACATTTTTTATTGAAATCTTCACAATTTTTTTAGTATGAAGTTAAGCAGTTATAAAATTTTCTCTTAAATTTTGCCTTTCTTCTGTGTAAAATTCAGTATTTGAAGAATAAAATTCCAGCTGTCTGAATTTTCTACAATTTATGAATAAATAAATTGTTCTCAAGTGTAGCTGATCAAAAGATTACTTTATTGATGATTTTTAATATGTGAAAATCATTAATAAAGTAATCTCATTATTTACATGTGAATTAATTTAGTTATAATATTCATGATTAATTTGTGTTTTCATTATTTATCTGTAAAAATTATTTTATTTTACTTTAATATGAATATATATAAATCAGAGTTGCCATGCTACCTGGAAAACCGAAAAAAATCCGGGAACTCGAAAATTGACCCAAAAAAATTCAGGATTTAAATATTTTAGTCAGAATCTGGAAAAGTCAGGCAATTTCATACAACGTTTCCACCAAAAAAAGTGCATTTTGCGCCAATGTTGGAAGAGATCACATTTTTAGTGAATTGTGTATCACGTGAGCGTCCTTCGGGCAGCTGGCATAGAGCCAATTTTCGCAGCTCCAATTAGATTGTCTTTTTAGGCCCATATCACACGGCGTTTGTTTCACACTAACAACTGTTTCGGACAATTTTTCTGCCTGGTTTACTTCCTTCCCCAAAAAAACACAAGTTCTTCATTTTCAACCAATCAGCTATTAGCTTGTTTGTCATGGGGAGCTAGTTTTCCCTGTGTTAACTCCAAAGCGATCTATGGTGATTGGTTGTTGTGACAAAACAGAAAAGTTGTTCCAAACAGTTGTTCTTCTGACATGTGACCGACATGTGATAGCAGCTGTAGAAAAACAAAGAAAGTTTCCAGCAACTTTTGATTTCCAGTAACCTCGAGAATCGCATGTGCAGTGCATGTTGAACATCCATTTCTTAAAATTTTGAAAAATATACTTTTATAGCTCATGAATCTCGTCTTCTGAATGGAAATAACAGCCAAGTGAATTTTGTTTTAGATTTTAAAAAATAGCAAAAAGTTACAGGTAGCAAGATTAGGGGATTAAGGTGAATGTTCTATTAATTTGATGCATTTTTGTTCAAGAAATTCAACTGTGAATTTTACTGAAAGAGAAGGTGCATTATCATGAAGTATGAATCTTCTAATATTTATTTATTGAAGAATTTCTGGAAGACATTTATTGATATAATGGTTAGCTGTGATTGCATTCATTTCCTCTAATTGGATGGCCTTCACCAGTCCTGTACTTCTGAAGAAAATGGTGTACATTACTTTTTTCTTTGCTGATTGTCTTTTCACCACTGTTGGTTTGGCAGTCAACTTCAAAAACCCACACTTTGTTAACATGTGGGAACATTAAAAAAAGTTATTTCATCCCAATTAGGATTTTAAGAATAATGCTGCGTTTACTATCATTAAGTAATTTTAGAGTTTTTTATTAGTTCTGATTTGCTGCAATTTTTGGTTTCTATAAAATTATGGGAAGCTCAGTTACAGAGTAATTTTTTTAAGTTCTTCATGAATAACTTTATGTATAACTGTGGGTCCAATGTTCAGTGCCTTCTGTATCATTTGGTACTGATCAATAAAATGATTAGCGATGCTGCCTACTGTACCGATAGATTTGGTTTGAATCCCATAGAAGGCATGGATATTTATAAGTGTATAGTATCTGCATGGCATGACGTTCAAAATCTGGTGAGCCAAAAGGCCTCTTCGGTGGTTTGGTAGTAGGAAAAGAGAGGCGGGCGACCCTTGAACCATTCCCCAAATTGGAGCTGCACATTTAATATGATGGACATCGTGTATGACCAATCCACAGCATCGTGTATGACCAATGCTGAAATTCTGGTTTTCTTCCTACCTGTACCTGTATTATTCAGTAGGTGCAGTGATTATTATTGATTAACATTTTTCGTTTATCTGATACATTTTCTGAATTGCATTTCAGGAACCACTGCTGACAAAGGTCTGACAATCTTTACGAAATTCTATAAACCATTCTATCAACCACTCATATCATAGGATTTAGTTCCACTTTAGATTTATATCAGGGTTCGTACAATCCTTAAAAATACTTAAAAAGCGTTAAATGTTTTTGGAAATGATTTTTTAATGATTAAATTTTTTTGGATATGACTCCTTAATTTTGGCCAAAATTGACAAAAAGGTCCTTAATTTTACTTATCTGATATTTCTGTCTGTTTTCTTAAGATTTCCATTTTGAGTGTAAATTAATATTTCAAAGGCAATATTTTAATATTCAAAATTTTTTGGCAATGCATTGACAAATATATATTTGATGGGTGAACATTTGAATTCTTTACTACTTCTTAATATAAACAGTGGGTACTTGAGTTCTGGGCATGAGACCCTGCTTCGACTGAATTAGAAAACATTTCGGAAATTATTTCTTTTTTGTGAATGAAGGGTTCATTAAATAATATGTCAAAAGCAACCCTTTCAGAAATATGATTTCTTTTATTATGGGACTTATCAATATTTTGGCAATTTCATGATCAGTTTGTGTACAAAATGTTTTATTTGCAAATTGACAATTTTTTTAACGAACACAATAACATTGATAAATAGCATAAAAATAATGATAATGTGTTGAAATTATATTTAAAAACTAGCATTAAAATATAATATTTTTATTTTTGCGTAATTTTAACGTATTTTAAAGTGCCATTATTTCCTATTTGTGTTTTATGATTATTTTAATTCTAAAAAATAAACAAAATAAATGCCGTAAAACACAGTTTCAAAAACACTTGGAAAGAACAAAAAAGCTGCTATTAAATTAATTTCATTTGTCGTCTTTTATATTTTTTCATGATAAGATTTTTTTCCTATGTAATTGTTTCATAATATTTAAATGTGTACCAGTTTTCTCTTGCAAATTAACTTTGCACTTTTCTCTTCTGATTCCCCCCCCTCTCAAAAATGTTTTGGCATTTTGCTCTTGCTTTGCTAAACTGATTTAAATTATCTATCCTACAATAAAAAGGATATGCATTAAATGCTGCTTTCTATTTGCTGTTTTGTATGATATATAATTTTTTAAAAAAATTTATTTGTTGATATTCCTTAATTGTTACCAGACATGATTGAAAGTTCAGCTTATATTTTACTACGACATTTGGAATATTATTTATTAACTTCTAAGAAAGATGAATCTATGTTCTCTTTCCCCAATAAATCTCATGAACAAATCCGTCGATTACAAGGTAAGAAATTTTTGAAAACATGTATAAAAATTGTTAAACTTAGTAGTTGTAAAATAGTGTTTTTATAGCCAAAGTCTGAATCTAGTGTTGTTAGACAGAAAGCAAGGTCTTTGTATTTTATTCTCGCTTGTAATTTAAGTGCATAAATTAATTTCTTTGATTTAGATTTATCAGATGATATTCTGTTCCTCCCTCTGAGAATGACTGCTTTCTTAGCAGTAGACATAATGTTTCTGTTCTGGGTGAAGTATTTCAGTGGGCAGTAGTATCATAAGCATTGATTGTGGGTTCTGAATCTGATGAAGCTGAAAGCAAGTTTTCAAATGAGATAAAAGAAATTAGATTTAATAGTTTTATTGGCTGCTAAAGCGAAGGAAAAAAGTGTTATCACATTAAGGCACCTTATGAAACAGCACTTTAAAATAATGGAAGTATTTTTAAAAGGTGTAATTTATTTTTCAAAAATACAGATAATTTTGAATGAATTAAATAACTAAATATTTCTTACGAACAAAAACACTTTATTTACAATTTTTATTTATTTGATTATTGTTTTGCAATTTACTATATCCTTTGGTAATAAACATGACCAAATTTGACCAATAATTGCTCATTCTCAGCAAGTTAATAAATACCATTTTTAATAGCAGCTGAAAATGTAGATGTGAAATCAAATTTACCCAAATCTGTGTTGAAGAGAAACATGGCAATGTAAAATTAAACAAAAAAACAACAAATTTTGTACAATGTTTTTGCTCTTGAACTGTGTCAGTTGCTCTTATCATCAATAGAATTTTACTGAAATTTTTGTTTTGGTGGTCTTGATTTTACATTTTATCAAAATATTCTAAATCACATGGAAATTTTTTTAATTCCTATGATGAAAAACAGCATAAGCATTAAATGGTCAAAAGTGTATATTCCCAAATAATCTCTTTTTGTAGATTAATTTTACTCTAGAAAATTTAAAAACTTGGTCATGTACAAATGAAAAAATATAAATTATTAATTTCTTCTTAATATGATATATACATATTACGAGGCGTATTCGGAAACTAAGTACCGTTTTTTTTTTTTGGGGAAAAAAAAAAAAAAAAAAAAAAAAAAAAAAAAAAAAAAAAAAAAAAAAAAAAAAGAAAAAAAAAAAAAAAAACAAAAAAAAAAAAAAAAAAAAAGATTCATTTATTTTACATGAATACAGTCTTAAAACTAAACTATTAACATGCCAATCAAATCAAACACTTGTTAGCGGTGACCATTTGTATACCATCGTCATCACAGCATTTTCGTGTCATCGTCGCTCACCAAGCGTCAGCCGCGCTTCATGTGCAGGAACAAGTGATAGTCGGACGGCGCCAAGTCCGGGCTGTATACGTCGGGTGATTAACTGCTCCCAATGAAACTGTCGAATTAACGATTGAGTGACACCAACAGGATGGGGCCGAGCATTGTCATGGAGCAACACAATTCCTTTACTGAGCATTCCTCTTCGTTTGTTTTGAATGGCACGCCTTAGTTTTTTTTAAAGTCTCACAATATCACCTCTGGGAAGAAATTCAGTAAGCAAAACGCCTTTTCTATCCCAGAAGACGTGCACATGATTTTTTGTGATGACATTATCACTTTGAACTTTTGTTTTTTTTTTCGGAGAATGAGTGTGTCTCCACTCCATCGATTGTTGTTTCGATTCTGGTGTGAAATGACACACCCAAGTTCATCACCTGTCACAATTTGGTTTAAAAAGTTTTCTCCTCATCACTGTACAGCATGAGAAATGTCAGGGCACTACCAAGTCGCTTTGTTTGTGAACATCAGTGAGCATTTTGGAACCATCGGGAACACAGTTTGCGATAATTCAAGCAGTCAGACACACATTTCGAACAAAACAGTACGTAAATTTTGTGGAAATGCCTCTGAAAGAGTTGTCATGTGTGAACGTTGTTCTCATGAATGCTTCATCAACTTTTCCTCCTTACCAAATCATCGGTGACAACAAAAGGCCGACCACTCCGAGCTTGGCGTGGACATTGTTCGACCTGCATTAAACATTCTTACCCACTTTCTCACCATTCCATCACTTATCACGTATTCACCGTAAACTTCTGTCACTTGACGATAATTTCGGCCGGTTTAACATTCCTCGCATTCAAAATTTAATCACAGCAGGAATCTCACACATCAGCGGAGAACTATTGTCTTAAACATTTTGAATGTGCACAGCAAACTGAAAACACAACATAGAGCAACCAAAATGGCGACAATTGAAAGTCAGTGAACAAGAAAGACTAGTGCACATGCGCGGGACGCCTACCACAGCGCTGCGACGGCGCTAGAATAAAACGGTAATTAGTTTCCGAATATGCTACGTAAAGGAAGGTATCTAAAAATTGATGCTTAACATAAACTGTGCAAGAAGTGCACAATAGCATTAAGATTTTTCCAAAATTGTGTAATATTTCAAAATTAATTTTAATGCTTTTATTGTCATTATTTCTTTAATTTTAGATACAAGTTCTTTGAGCCCAGATGTTCAGAGAAACACAATGAAGTCTTCATTTCAAGATGTATCTAAACCTGTGTCTCAGATTGATTTGGATAGCTTCAAAAGTGATGTTCAGTCGGCACTAGGTGAACCTTTTTTTAGGAAGCTAAAATCTGTTGAACAGGTAAATAATTTTAATATTTAAAAAATGAATTGTTAAAACGTTTATTTTCTGCGAATTTTTTTATGTAATTAACTTTAGTAATTTGTTTGTGAATTTAAAAGAAGACAAAGCAGTGATAATAAGCTTAATATTGTTGAAACTAGCAAATCAAAATTTATTTTATTGTTTTGAAATAATATTAAGTTATAACTATTTGGCTTCCAAGCTATAACTGTTTGGCTTATTCTATTAAGCTATAACTATTTGGCTTCCGATTTGTATTCACAGATGACTAGCATTAATCTGTAGTACGTAAAATTACTGCAATTAAATGCATAAGGTTTTGGCTGAGAGTATAGTTAAATAAAATTATATCTAATCAAAATCAAGGTAAAGAACTTGTTCTGTAGGTCATGTTTATGTTTTTATTTTTGGGAAGAAACTTTTGCACAAATGTTCTCATTTGCTGCACAAACTCTAATTCAAACACAGCAAAATTTGCATTTACTTTTGCAAATTCTATTTATTTCATTCGTCTAATGGCATTTGAGTAAATTTGATTTTGCTCTTATTATTTAGATAACAGTGAAATCAAATTGATGCTAGAGCTTCCTTAAAATCAAGTTTTATGTTAGATATTTTGTATGTGTGAACAACTGCATATAAAGATGGCAAATCTTAATATAGTAACGAAAATTTGTAGATTATTTTGAAATTAACTAATTTAATTCAAATCATTCTGTTGAAATTAAGTTAATTTGGGAGAAATCTATTTTCATACTACTTTATATCTACATCAGAGAAAGATATAAATGATTATGAAAAGTCTATGCAAGTTCTTAAACGAAGTTTATATTTTCATGTAAAAATCAAACAATCTTTTGGATCAGAAATAAATTAAGCAGAAGAAAAAGGGTAAGAATCAGCTAAATTGAATTATTATTCAAGAAAAAAGGTATGAATCAACTAAATTGAATTATTATTCAAGAAGTCAAATTTTAGCAATTTAGCACAGAAAAAAAGCATGCCTTTTATTATTATTATTATTATTATTATTATTTTGCTGTTGGTTGTATATGGTGTAAATGCAAAGAAAATGATGTTTAATAATATAGTTTAAAAGACAATAAATGAGTTAGTAGGAGTAGGTGTATCAGCAGACAAGACAACGGTGAACTCAGCGGGAGTGTAAGGAACCTTAACAAACCCTTTTGGGCAACCGTTTTCTTTTTTCTTACTTAAATATTTAAATTAATTCTATATTAAAAAAATTATTCATTATTTTCAAAAATACATATATTTAAAAAACTGTTTATTAATTATAAAACTTAACATTAGTATACATGTAAACATAAAATCATTTACTAAAACAGGGTTTGTAGCGGTCCTTACAAGTGCTTTTAAGTCCTTATATTGAAAAAAAAAAAAAATATAAAGGCCCTTATTGGTGACTTTTTCTCTAAAGCACTTATATATATATATATTGTTGTTGTTTTGTTTTTTTCTGCTTATTTTTTGCTTTTGATACCCCCCTTTTTTTAAAATAAATGCACATTCCCCCCTCCATACCAAAGCCGAAACTAAATAAAAAAAATTTTCTTCCTTATATGGAGCGTCAGAGGGTGAATCATACTTCCAGAAATAGCTTTTCGCCCTATTATTATTTATTTCCTTGTCGTTATCGATAGTGTTATTTCACTAATTATAACTAATTACTCAAGGTAAAACAAAACTGCTTACCTTGTCCCAATGGGCTCTACCAGGTCTACTGGTTGAAATTGATCTCCTCTTTGCATCTCTATCTGCAAAATCTTTGAAGGGAATAATCCATAAATTGATAAATGCATTTTTTACACAAACATATTTAATGAAGACGCAAACTGGTTACAGACTATTTACGTAATAAAAAGGGTTTGAATTTGGCTCGAGTTCTCGTGCAATCTCTGCACGAGAGTTCATAATTCGAGATGACGTCACTCAGCCATCGATCTCAGCAAGAGTCGCAACACGCCCCTTTCCCTGCAGTAACATAACCTTTGGTGTGCACGAGTACAGACAGGCGCACGTCGTTCAATTGGTCAAAGAATTGCAAAATCGGTAGAAAATTCCAGTACACTCTGTAATCTTTCCCTCCCGCTCCAGACTACACACATTTGAATTTCTCTCAAGATTTAAATAATGTGCATTCTCGTTCCACGTGATCAGTTCATATTCACGTTTATTATGATCGTTTGCTTATATTATAAGCATATGTATGAATATTTGTAATAATATATTAGCAGTAACTGCTGAAGTATAGATAAACTTAAAAAATGGGTAAGTGTGTTTTTAACATGGATTAATATTCGGAATGGCTTAAATAAAGTGGAAGTAATCGAATAGTCAAAATAATTTAACTTTTTTTGCGAATGCATTATACAGTACGTAAGTTGAGAGGGATACTCCCCTTTCTCCGCAAAATCTCAAATATTAAAACCATTACAATTTGCAGCAAAACAAGCAATGGACATTTTTTGTTTACTTTCCAATCTGGATTGAATAGGACTAAAAGTCCTGTGGTCTACCAACCCAAGCGAAGAATGATTCTATTCCGGAAATTTAACGCAGTCTGTTCAAAATTGGAATGAGAAACACTCTAGATTAGTATGCCTCTTTCTTTTCCTTTATTTTGTTATTTATTCTCCGAATACCGGCAGCTGTTGATTCCGATTGCATAATATCACATGTGGAAGAATTAAGGTGCACGTATTGTGCAATAACTTTTGTGATATTTTGCAGAGATAATTAATTTTTATGTTCAGTCTGAGATCTGTTTATGAGTACTTAAAAGAGTTTTACTGTGCTTTCTAAGTAGAATATTTTTCAGTTCCGTTGGGCTATTTCTATATAATGCACATATCGAAATGTCAAAAGCATTATTTTGCCGAAAAAGCTAAAGAACGACTAGAATATACCCTCCCCCTCTTTTTCCAACTATGCTCGACTATCTGAAATTTTCAGATATTTGGCAATTTCTGAGTATGCCAGTTAGTTAAGCTTTTACTATTAAAGGATGACCGCATGAAGCAATTCCCCGTCTTCTGATTTCAGGAATGTTCCTCTTTTTACTTAAATTACTTTGCTTGCAATATCTGTTAAGGGAAAATTGTTATACAATAAAAATTTAGAAAATGTTCAGAATTTTGATTTAAGTTAAATTATTTAAATATTAATATAAGTGGGAAAATAAATTGTATTTATTTTTTAGGTGCCAAGCAAATATAATAAATATGGCTTATTATTATTATTTTTTCTATATTTTGAACTGAAATTCCATCATTAAATCTTGTAATATAGTTTAGTTCTGGATAGTTTTTTCCCTCTCAGTGTAAACTACTTCTGTAAATTGAATTGTTGTTTAAAAATTTTTTAAAAAAATTAATTATTTTCCATGTAGTAGTAATTATTTTCCATGTAATTATTTTCCATGTTAATTATTTTCCATTTAGTAATAACACATATTTCCATGTGCTATTACTAAAACATAGCCTCATCATTAAAATAAAAATATTTCTTTCACTCATCCAAGATACAGAGCAATCCAGAAAACAAAAGACAAAACTTACTTACTTACCTGGGTAGTGTGATGATGAATCGAAACCAATGCTAATGCGTGGGAAATAAAAACTCAAAGAAGTTGATTCATCTTATTATATCTACACTACAACATAACACAATTATACTAAAATATATACATTATAACAATTTCCAGGACATTTTACTGTCCCCTAAAGTTATTAAACATCTCAATCGGTTCACATCACGAGGTTGAAATGGGAAAATCCCCCCCCTTTTTTTTTTCCTACTTCGATGACAGCCTACGCCATGTGTACCTCTTACATCAAATAAAGAGGGAATTTATTTTTTATGTTTGAAAAATACTAAAGTGTTTTACAACACCATGGTTGAGATAATGCTCACTCTCTGTTAATAAATACCGAATTTCTCATATTTTAAATTACCAGTCTATTTTTTCTTTTAAGGTTGTGTATAATGTAATTAGACAGGTGCTTATTTTTTTTCTTAAAATGTGTTTGAAAAGTGCTTATAAAGGTGCTTATTTTTTTTTTTAACTAAAATGTAGGTACTAACCCTGTAAAAAATATAGTTTAACTTTAATAATAATGTTCAGATTTTTCAAATAAAATAAATAAATACTTCATTTATGTAAGTATATATTAAATCTTTTCTCTTCTCTCTTTAAATTTTAACCATTTAGCATATTTGCAATCAAAATTTCTACTTATTTCTTCTACTTAAGTATGATTTTACTCACATTAACATGTGATCATCTTTCAAACGATTTCTTTGTTTATTTTTTATTAAATTAATTAAATTGAAACCTTGTTCACAATCAGCACTAGATGGCAGAAATGTTTGACCAATATTCCATTAATTTTGAAGGTTAAAAATATTTCATTATTTCATTATTTCATTAAAGAAATATATTGTTCATTCTTTAATGAAAACATTAGCATAGTTAAAAGATATATTATCAATTTACACTTTTTTCTCGCATGGCAAATTTAAAATCTTTATATTACTGTAGCACAGCTGTTTTATCTGTTAATATATTACTGTATTTTATGCATAATTTTTCAGCTAGTTCTACGCCATAATTGAAATCACTTGCACTTAATGTTGTCAAATCAAACACTTCATTTTCAGGAAATATTTTTTCTAAATGAGAGCAAAGTAAATTTATGAAAGTTAGCATGGAATTAGTATTAGTTTCAGTACTTTTTTCCTCCACTTTATGAAGAATTTTTCAGAATTACTCCAAGTAATGCTGCTGTGGTTAAATATCTTGTTCTTTAAATTTTTTCTACGAACAAACTGAAATGTTTCAAGTGGTATTAGATCGCGATGCTGAAAAATTTTACACAATGCTGCACATTTTTCAGCAGTGCCACTCTAATATGTAAAGTAACATGAAAATCAATATTTTCATTGTCTATAAGCGGTATTGTGCAATTATTCCTTTCTTCATCTTCTTTAAAATATTTAATTAATGCTTCATAATTTGTAATTATTGCTTTCAGTGCAAAATATCTAGGTAATGCTTATTTAAGAATTTAAAGATAACAGCATCTGTTTCTAAAGCAGTGGCAATATCTTGAAATTTTATCTCGCTTTTTTTGCAGATTTAGAAATATGGTGTATATTGTTCTCACAAGAGTTTCGGTATCTCTCATTAATTTAATGTCTTCTGAAGCATCCCAAATAACCAAATCTTCACAATATGCAACATAGTTGTGAACCAAATGTGATTTATTTTCTTTTTGTTTTGCTACTATTCCATTTATCTGATATAGCATAGCAGCTACCTCATCACAAGTAAAAATAATCACCCCCCTTTTTTTTTCCAAATCAAGTATTATTTTCTCTATATAAATATTTTATTGCAGAAACAATTAAAAAAGCATCATCAGAGTTTGATTGAATTATTCCACCAGATAATTGTTTTAAAACTGGTTATTTCTGTTAGACATCTAAATTTTTTGTGAACATCTAAATTTGTGGTGAAAAGTAAATGCTTTGAGTTTTCTTATGCCACATGATCATTTATATCCTGGACAGAGTTCTGAAAAATATTAATTTCAATGATTTAGTAATATACATTATCAATTACTATTTTCACTTCTTCATGAATGGATATTTTTCTTTTGATGTTTGTTTTTATGAAATATGTTTTGAAAAAATTATTAACTCTGTCTGTTTTTTTTCCCTCTCCTCAGTATCTGGGTCAAGGAAGAAGTCATGTGAGTTTTCTAGAAGCAATATCAAATCGCTTGAAGAGATTAGTTCACATTCAAATTAGATGAGGTACATGTACATAGGTTGGAAATTTAAGTTCCGTTAGAAAACATTTATTGCAGCAAAAGTATTATGCTTTGTATTTCATTGGATTAGAATTTCATATTTGTGAGAAAGAAGAAAAATAGATTCACTGCCTTGGAAAATTTCACTAAAGTTTTGTACTGTAAAAATATAGTTTTAAAAATGGCTTTGTAATTTACTGTAAAATAAATAATTTTTAATGACATAAAAAAAGAACTGGCTATTTTTAGACTGCTCTGAATGTCATTATAAGAGTCCAGGTAATTTTGTTTATGAATAGCAGTCCTGAGTTTTGGAAAAAAGTCGGAAACCATATGCCATATCAAGAGATTATAAATAGAGCTTCATGTGTTTCAATTTCCCAGGTTCCTTTTTACAGGAATATGGTTCTCATTAACTGTTAATAATTATAGTACAGATTTCTGAAGAAATACATCGATATTAATTTGGAGGAAGTTATGTGAAAATACATAAATGGGTATTGGTTTCTGTAAAATTAAACAAACTTTCATTTCTTTAAACATATATTTGGATGGGTAAAATCACATTCTGCTTCTTCACTTTTTTGAGGTAGAGCCATTAGTTATCCAAAAATAAATACTGTTGCGTGCTTACAGGTTTGTAATAGACTGAATACATGCAGGTCCAAATCAAAGGAAACACTTCAGTGTTCTGGAATTTTCTGCAAAAGTACTCGTACAACTCTTCACAGTACCACAGAGTACAATCAGTAGGTACACTTCAAACTGCTAATAAGGTTAAATACAGTACACTATGAAGCATATCTAAAGAGTGTAGCTAAACTGAAGATATCTCAATACTCTGAACTAACAGCTGAGGAATTGATGCTCTTGTCTATGTTATATAGTTTTCACCCAGTTGCTGAGATATTTATAGTACTCTCTGCTTCTCGAAATTACTGGAAGGCATATGAGAGCCAAATTATGGTCTCAGTTGCATAGAGCACCAACTGTTGGTATTTAATCACAATATCCCATTATAACTATACAGAGATCGGACCAAAACAGGCGACAAAAATTCGTTGAAAAAAAATGTCACCATTGCCAAATTAGCAAGATAGCCATTTACTCAAAACTAAATAGACATGACCCTGTATTCTTACTTTTTCGGCATAGCTTCGCCTCTGTAGTGATTAATGTTACATTATATAGAAAAATACAATTTCACATATAATTGCACTAAAAATTTAAACAATAATTGCAATAAAAATGACATAAAAAAATCAAATGCTAAACCAACAAATAAATTTACATACGCTATAAGGACTACCAACTACAGGGGCTAATCTGTCATAATGAACAACTTGGAATTTGATGACTACGGATTTGATTAGGGCTTAGAATTTGATGACTTATGGCGTCATTTAGTTCGCAATCCTAACGTTGTTGTCAGGATTGTGTAAGAAGCATCTCAGGGGTTACTGTAGTTTAGGTAGAGTCCTTTCCATTGAATCAGATTCCATAACCCAACCTTGTCACCGTCATTGAATCAATGACCTGTAGCTCATGTGTCATGTTGGGTATTCATCCTGTCTGTCGCCAAGTTGACTTCCACCTGCATTCCGAGGGTGACTGAACAAGAGATCACAATGCAGACGAAGGTCACGACCGAACAGCATCTGGAATGGGGAACAGCTGGTAGTCTCCTAAACAGCGCTGTGATAGACCAGTCTCTGTTTTTACTATCGCCAGTACTGTGATTATAAAAATAGAGATTACTTCTTGTCTCAGTCCTTGTTGGTTTCTGGAAATCACCAACGAGAGTTTATTAAGGATGGTTCGATTAAACCTCTCTACCGTGCTGTCTGACTAGAGATGTAAAGGTGTCGTTTGGATTCTGTCGATGCCTAGTAGCTTGCTGAGTTCTTTAATTGCAACCGAGGTGAAATTTCTTCCTTGATTAGAATATAACTGAAGAGGCACTATGAACCTGGAAATCCAGTGCTGTATACCTTTCCTACCATGACAGCTTCTTGATAGGAATAGGATACGCTTCAGAGCACTTTGTGAAGTAGTCAATAACAACGAGGATGTATTTCTTGGCATCATCAGTTCCTAGCAGAGGTCCCAAGATTCCAAAGGCAATATGTTCAAAAGGTGCTGCTACATTGTAACATTTCAGATTGCCTTGGCTGCATTTCTTCCTTCCTATCCAACCCACACAGGCATGGCATGATTGGCACCACTCTTGCACATCATCAGCCCTTTCATTATTCCAGTAGAAGTGCTCTCGATCTCTCTGCAATGTCTTTCTTATTCTGAAGTGATCTCCTGTTGGACTGCTATGTAATTCTTTAAGGACTTCCGGAATCTTGGATGTATCAGCTACGATCGAATGTCTTTCCATCATCCTGTTCAAACTTTTGGTACAAAATGTTGTTTCAAATATGGAGTGAGTCCCAGAGAGCCCAGTATTGTTTGTTGTAGGAAGAAATATTTGCCGTCTCCAAAGAAGTTGATACCTTAAAGAAGTTCATAGCGAAAGCAGAAAGAAATTCTGATGGCTTGAAATTTTTACCCATGCCTTCTCATCTCTCTCTGAAGCTGTCCACATGTGATAGAAAGACCTCCTTCAAATGTACAAGACGCAGTTCTCTATAGTCAGTGGCAAACGCGAATGGATGGGATTCCGAACGTAAAGCCTGCCATCTCGTTTCTTCACCGAGAGCAGATGAAACAATTATCCTTCAAACTTCCTAAAACCAGAGGCTAAACTTCGAAGCTCTGTGGAGCATAATGAAGCTGTAGAGAAAAGTGTTTAAAAGACTATAGCAAACTTCAGTTAAAATCTCACCAATGGAGATGTTGTCAGGTATGTTTTCTATTTAAAGATTCCATTTATGGGTTTAACATCGTGGTCTTCCCTGACTTCTTCGTCACTCGAACAGCCGATGCTGAAGTTGTAAGTTGTTATGCAACAAGACTAAGGAGCTCGTATTTTGCTTCAACCCTGGAACAATGTCGGTAGATTTCTGGAGAGAGCCTCCACATTTCGTGCAACGATCCTTTCCTATGATGGATTTTTATGCCATATTCCTGGAATCTCTGCATCCATCTGCCTATTTGGCCTTTGGAATTCTTTAAATTTAAATGTCAAACAAAGATGCATTATCTGTGCGCAGCAGGAATTTTCTGCTGTAGAAATAATGATAAAATGTTCTACGGCTTTAGTATGGTGAGCAGCGATCCTGGGGACACAGGAATTTCTCTCCAGTTTAGATAGACACTTGCTCTATGACAAAATTGACGATCTATTTCTTGGGACAAAACGGCACCGACCCTCACATTGCTCGTATCTGTGTCGAGAATTGATGCCTTGTCGAGCTGCAGATATGTCAGGATTGTCGCTGATGTTAAAGCTTCCTTCAGTTTGATAAATAGCTACAGTATAGCTACAAGAAAAACATCAGGGCACCTTTTTATGCATGGTAGAATAATTGGCAAGCTTGAGGAGGGGTGTAGTTTAACGTCTATCTCCCAGGAGTTAGGAAATGCTAAAAATTTTGTTTCATGAGCTTGAAAAACCTTCCACATAAACAGTACAGCTGAAAGAATGGTTGGTGGTGGTCAGCCAAGAAAAACAATAGTGACTGATTTCTGGTATATCGCCCTGACAAGCAAAAAGTGATTGAAACCAGACAGCGGGCATCATTATTAAGTGTTTTCGCACGGCAACCGGACAACAGCTGTCCCAGTTTACTATGGCCAGACGACTTCATAAATGTGGCCAATTTTCCTGCCGTCCTTATCACTGCATACCATTGTAAGTAGACCAATGGTGGCACCACTTACTTGTGGTGTACAGAATATAAAGAGTTGATACCTCATCAATGCAGGCACGTCCTCTTTATCGATAAGAGTCGTTTCAGTCTGACAAACGATTTTCGGCACCAGCTAATATAGAGGACACACGATATATATAAAGGACCTTGCTAACATCAGCGAAAGAGACTCTTGGGGTAGTCCTGCCATGCTTGTATCGAGAGGCAATATGATGAACGGACAGACAGAGCTCCTTATTTTGGAAAAAGATTCACTTAGAGGAGATGAAGTTATTCTCTCCCACGTGCATCTTTTCCGGAGTGCCATTCATCCGTCTGTGTGTTTATGGATGACATTGCATGGCCACATAGGACCCGTTCTGTTGAGGAGCTTCTGGAAAGTGACGTTATCGAAAGAATGGATTGGTTAGGGCGTTCCTTTGACTTAGATTTCATTGAACACATGTAGGATACTTTAGGTAATCGCCTGGCGAAACGATCTTACCATCTGGATAATGTCAGACAACTGAAACAGATGCTCCTTGAAGAATACAAACTCTTAGCCCAAGAAGTGGTAGATAATCTGGTGTTGAATATTGACAGACAGTACAAAGCAACCACTGCAGTCATATTCATATTGCTTAAAGTAAGGCGCTTTGGTTTGTTATTCATCCTCTTGGCTAGACGGTTTCTTATTCCAGTGCCATTCTGTCAATAAAACCTCCTCTGTTTGCTCCATACTGTATACATCCTATTCTTTTTTTCTTTTTTTTTGTTTCTAATTTTTCTCATTCCTTAAATATTACATTGTGCCTCTGTAGTGTGAATCGCATGTCTCCTAGTTGATATTTTGCAGAATTATAAATGGCCAAAATAAAGAATGATCCTTAAGTTTTGCTCACTAGTATATGTTATCTGAACATCAGTATTGCTTTCAATAGCATTTTGATGTACCAAATAAAGGTATTCCGTTTTTAATTTCTGTAAGATTATGGAGAAAGGTAACTGAGCATATTTTGGTTTGGTTTATGTGATGACGGCAAAGCCTCGAGGGCTATCTGCCTAAAGGAAGGCTTGCCTTCGTGGAGGACTTTCTAAGGGAAACTGGCTGTTATCACGCTACACATGGAGGAAAATCCGAAAACACCCATGCAGCCACCCCGTTCGCTGATTCGAACCTTGGAACTATTAGCGTTCAGGGATTTTATCGCTCGCCCGCTAGTGGGCTGAAATGAAACATAGAATTGTGGTAGTATCAATTATTAGATATCTAAATACTCTGAAAAAAAAGGAAAACAAATCTAAAGAAAAAATAGCTAATGTTTTCCACCTATGTGGTTTCAAGAATTTTTCTAGTTTTTCTCTAGTATGGAGAGGGGATGATTAATATAGAGAACATAACTTTTCCTTATATCCTAAATATTTCAAAAAATAATTATTTT